TGCCCTACAGATAAGCCTGTCTCACTCATATTTAATTCTTGTAAGAAGCAGTCACTGTCTGCAAGCCTCTTTATCCCATCTGCCACAATACATGGTAAAGATGTAGTGCTGTTCCACTGCAGAATGGATTAGGCAATTTCCAGTCCAGTATTAGTCTTCTATATACTGCCCTTCTTCAGACAAAAATGCCCCCAACTGTCTTCCCACTGTTTTTAAAATTAAGGATCAATCAGATCATTAGGAGGGAAATAGGTGTTCCCTCTGGGATCTGTCACTTGGGATACATGGTAAGACTAGCTCTGGGTTTATCTTCGTTCTTTACACCCATCCTGATACATACAAATGATCATTGATAGGTAATTAACTTAGTTTTTAATATAGAAATGTGTGTGTGTTCATACTGATCTTGTAGGAAGCATGGGGGAATTTGCTTGTAGTATTTCAAATAAGTATTTTTAATTAGCTCAGAAAAGGCTGTAGCATTATTTTTATGTGAAGCAAAACTTCACCACATAGTATTTAGTTTATTGCAGTCTGTGTGAGGAAACTAAGAGATAGAACATAGTATCATAGTCTAAGGAAGCAATTCTGTATCTATTACAAGAGTGCAATATATATGTATATAAAAAGAAGCATATAACTTGACCCAACATATTGTATTTAAAGAGCAGCACAGTTTAATTGAAAACAAGAAATGCCTGGGTGTGTGGCCCATAAATAAGCAATATGTGATTTATTATAGGGAAACAAAAGCATGACCATTTATTTTCCTAATTCAGTGAAATACATTTGTTCTTATTTGAGTAAATTTCAGGGATGAATGGCTCAACTCTATTTCTGCTCAGTGACACTTTCTTACATGTACTCTCACAACTCCATTCAGTCATGTTTCTGCGTAAATCTGAAAACTTTTTAAGCAATACTAACTTAGTACATTCTCTTGAACATGCTCTCTCAAAACATGTTAACCCAAATATATTTTGGCATACTTTTGTGGAGCCAAGAAGCAGATCCCGGCCGTTCAAAATCTGCTGTTACAAGCCTCACATTAGTCTGAGAGTTGCAGATCAAGTGATTTTGATTCAGATTCACAAGGATTTAATTTCTCACTCATTTCTCCTAAAACTCCAGTCCACCTTCACTGAAGAAAAGTCACATAGTGGTTGCAGTCAGAGAAGAAAGGCTGGTATCTTAAAAATAACATCTCAAATGAGGACTGCAGGAAATGGCTCCACTTTAAAATGTGCAAAGGAAATAGAAGCAACAGGCATGTCAGTAGTTCCTCCCATTCTGAAAGTTCATCAAGTTGATTTCAATGCTGGCTGCTGGCCAAGCATGTCTGAATTATAAGTACTATTGTCTGGCCAGGGCCAAGTCTGGCTATCTCTTGCACTTTCAGACTTTTAACCTTCAGCTGTCTGTGCACAAATATGAACATTCCTTTCCCTTGTGCTTTTTTACTTGGTACTATAAACCCAGTTTGGCACTTGGAACTCAGTTTCTGCTACTAAGCTATTAAGCTTTACTAAACTTTTCACAGTTACGTGTGTATACTATACTGAAGCTGACAACAAGGTCTGTTCAGCTTGAATGGATATGTTTGTTTAATCTACTTCTTACTCAGATTCTTAGATGACACTTTTAAATGATTTTAAAGCTCCAATATTGTAGTTCGTCCTGATCTCACCATCAGTTTCTACATTAAGACGTCCACATCTTCAGACATAATAATTTACAGCAGACATTTCGGGAGTTTGGGGGAGCCATGTCAGTCTATATACCACAAGCACAACTGTCTTCTAGCACCTTTAAGAGGAACAAGTTTTATTTGACATGACCTGTGTACTATAGGCTGGTTCATCAGATTCATTTACCCTAACTTTCAGCAAAATTTATAGCAGCAGGAGGACTGGAGCATTTTTCTCTCCAATATATGGACACTTTAATATAGAGAAGTTTTAATCATAAACAGTAAAGAGTCATTTAGTAAAGAGTTTTAGTCCCATAGTCTCAAAGAGTTGCCTTTTTAGTCCATTGTGCATTTATCCATAAGTTCTAGTCCAGAAAAACCTGTCTTGGCATAAATTTATTAGCCTTTATTAACAGTGCATAATTTTGTAGGTTATAACCCACTGATGAATTTGATGTAGATGAAAATGACATCCATGTATTTGCCTGTGTCTAAATACAATAACTGAAATGGATTTTAAAAAGTCCTGCAGAAACAGGTGGAACAGCTAGGTGCCTCACAATTCTTGACGTGGGATGCAATACTTCCAGTGGGATGCAAACAGCCTAGGTCCACAAAGGATTAGGGTCCTTGCAATTTTCTGTAACAAGGGAGTATGACTGTTTCCCTGGTTTTATTACTACTTGTCTTACTATAATGTCTTTACAAATGACCAACATTATCTAATTATTCTACCTTGTTTGTACATACATATCTATTTTAGGCACAGGCTTCCTTCCTTTACACATTTCCCTCAAAATAAACAGCAGCAGGCTTTGTTAGCTATACTTCTGAATAGAAATGGGCAAAATTCCACTGTAAATCCATAGCAATCCAATTTAGGCTGCCAAAGTTAATAGGGCTAAATTAAAATACCTAGATTCACGGAGTAGTGAAGTGAGTTGCTCATGCCATCTGTGCACAATTTAGTAAGAACATTAGGATATGTGGCCACAAATTGGTCATGGGGGCTAATTCTTAAGCATGGGGGGGGGAGGAGGAAGGAATCCCACTTTCTGATTATGGTGTAGAAAAACGTCTGTGAAATGGGAAAGGTTCATAGGTGCCTGAAATAGACCTTGTTCTGTAACATCTGTCACTTTAAGGGGGTTTCTTCATTGCCCTAGGTTGGGTCATGCACATAATGCCTCTGTATGATGGTGGTGGTGGTGGTGGTGATAAGTATTGTCATATTTAAAGGTACCAGTAAATATTTGACATGTTGATGTCCCTTGTTCTTGGCCTTTAAATAAACACCAAATCTTGTGTACAGCATACTGAACCATAAGCAAAGTAATTAAAATGAAGTTCCAAACCATTGCTACTTCTGTTTGTCAAGTGGAAGGATGCCTTTCCTCATTCAGAAGTGTCTAACAACCCTTTGCTTGCACTATAGCCAACATTAGGTGGCAATTCATATGAAAATTATCTTCCATCTCCCAAGAGTCAGGGGCTTGTCAGTTTCTGACCCTGTTTCAGATTTTCCATGTCAGGAGGAGATGTTCAGCATGAAGCACAGACAACAGTTATGGCTCCCTTGGTTTAAGTTTTATGCATCCATGCCCTTCAGAACCCACCTTGACATTTCTGTTCCTGAAAAGTGTGGCTTTGTGATAGCTTGTACAATAGTTCATACTGGGTCACCCGTGATTGATCGCCAGTGTGACTAGAGGTTAAGGAATTGTAACTGCACGGGGATCAGCTCTCAGCATCTCTGATATGGAGCCAGAACAGCTTTTAGGAGACACAATGGAGGGTGGAGTCAGGGTTGCTTGAATTGAACTAGAAGCTCTCAAACAAACAAACAAAAATAAAATACAATATTTTTCCATAGCATGTGACTCTGTAGAAATTTTTGGCCAGGGTGAGGGTGGCATCCATGTCAGTTGCAGCAAAAACAAGGTCTTAGGGGATCTTGAAGACAAGTTTAATTAGGCATCAACTTTCATGGACTGTAGCCCATGTTCCAAAGAAGTGGGCTAACGGTCCATGAAAGCTTATCCAAAGAAAACGTGTCAGTCATTAAGATGCCACAAGCCTCCTTGTTGTTCTGCCCTGTCTGTCCCATCTCACCCAGCGCCAGAGCTTGGAAAATAACTTGCCTTGAATCATTCCAAAAAGGGGGGGGGGAATTAGATTCTCCTCCCTAAGAAAACAGGATAACCTCAGCCAGGGGTCTGGAAGATGTTTATTTTCTTCGCGAGGGATAGTTTGGCAGGAGAAAATGAAGAACTCTCCTTAGTTCTTCACATTAGATGAACTTGGCATGGAAAGAGTATTCTCCCCCCCCCCGAAACTGAAGCTAAAAGTAAAACTTTCGAGGAGGGATTATTTGCGAAGATGACTGAAGACCTCCCTTTAGAAGAATTTGGCAGGCTCTAAGTCCTAGGAGGAAGTGTACAGAGTGTTTGGGAAAAGCGCAGGCGGGGGCAGGAGGAATGGTGGCGGCTCTGAGGCGCGGAGAGGGAGAGGAGAGGAGAATCCTGCCGTGGACTCTCCTCTCGTGAAGAAATGCGCGGGGCCGGCGGGTGAGCAGAGGGTTTGGCGGGAAGCAGCGCCTGCCTCCCGGGGCCAAGACCCCCCTTGCCTGGGCTTCCCCGGGGGGGGGGGAGACGGCGCCTTCCCAACTTCGCGGAGAGAATTCCCTATAGGTGTTCTGTGTGGAAAAGATATTTAACTGGAATATATTTCCAGCCCTTCCAAACTGAAGGGAGAAGTGACAATTGAAGCCGAGGCTGAGCAAGAAATTAGAATCCGGGGGAATCGCCTGTTTGCGAAGAGAGGAGGTTCGGGGAATCCTGCGTCCGGCCGGACGTGGGGAGAAATGCCGGGACCTCTCTGAGGCGTTGGGGAGGAGGGGTGGGAGACGCACCCTAAAACAGGCTTTTGTGTTACCGGCCAATTTTGGGTCTCGGTTTTCCGGCAAGGAATCAGGTGTGAATGTTTCAGGGTTAGGTCTTTCTGAGGCCTCTACTTTCTCTTAGTGTCTTGTCAGTTCTAAAATGTAGTTTCATCTTTACTCGGTATCGTTTGCACTGGGGGCCGGCGAGGCGAGGAGCGCGGAGGCTCGCGTGTTGTAGTTTCATCTTCACTCGGTATCGTTTGCACTGGGGGTCGGCGAGGCGAGGAGCGCGGAGGCTCGCGTGCGCCCCACAGGCTTGCCGCCCGCAGGGATATCAGGTGCGGGGCATTTCAGTCTGTGGGGCGTAGCTGAGGCAAAGCCGTTGCAAAGGGCGCCCTGCTCCTCCCTGGCCAGAGCGGGTGAGTGTGCTTCCTTACCCTGAGCTTCTAGGTGCCTTCCCCACTCCCAATCCCCACGTGCGTTGGCTGCCCGTCTTCTCCATCCCGCTGCGCAGGCGAGGCTCAGCCATACCAGGCACAAATCCCCACGCCAGGGACGGCTCCTGGGTTAGCAGGGCTTGTGCTAACTGGGCGCTCCTGTGACCAGCGAATGCTGTCAGGGGCAGCCTTCTTTTGCAACGACATGGACACGGGTATGTCTTTAACTGGGCCAAGTCTGTTCGCTTCTCCGTCGCGCATCTTCTCCCCTTGCCTGTACCCCTGAAGGGGAGAGAAAGAGGAAGGGCTTCCTGAGGATGCGATCCCCTCCCTCGTTCTGAACGCTTGGGCTTCATTGCTGCTTTTGCTGTGTTGGCTTTCCTTTCTGGGTAGTTTCTCCTGCTCCTGTAGACGTGCCAGATGGAGACATTTGATTCAACAACCCTGCTTCTTGTGGTAAGTGTCCTCTCCTGAACATATAGACCCTTGACTGAAAGACATGGTGTAAGATCTTCAAGGTTGTAATCGGAATCCACAAGTCAGATAATTCTGTTCTTGGGATGGGTTAAGTTACAAGTGAAACATGTTAGGTGGTAGTGGGAAATCTTGGAGGGTTCAGGGTGAGTATTCTCTCTTTTTAAGTAGTTGGTATGCAGTAAGGGAAAGAATGGTATACAGTATGCGGGAGGTTTTTTAGTGTGTGTGTGTGTGTGTGCCCACAATCAGAACGTTTAAAAAAATAAAATAAAATTGTAAATTGCGGGTTTACTTAATGCCTGGTAAATGGAATGTAAATCTCAAATGATTTCTGCTTGAGATTGCCTAGAGAAGATGTTTCACAGAAGAAATCCTTCATATTAAAATAGCATCCTATGGTCTGATGCGATGGAACATCAAGCGTTCTTTGTGACATCAAACATTGCTGGACCACATTTCAAGAAAGTACATGTCAGCCTTAAAAAAAAGTAGAGAAAATTATGACTGTGATATTTTTAAATGGAGGCCTCTGTTGACTATTACTTCCTTGAAATGTTTTCATTATCTGTGTTTTCCAACCATAGTGCTGTAAGTTTTAACAAAGAAGTGTGGTGTTCAAGAGCCAGCACATGACAGGAGTGAAACTTGAATACTGTATATATTTACATTGGAGTAAGGTTTGGAAAACTTGAATACTGTATGTATATATTTACATTGGAGTAAGGTTTGGCTGCCTTTCCTATGGCTGGTGTTGAAAAGATTTTCATTAAAAAAAAGTTCATAACGTACATCTCCAAAACTTATAAGGATGACACCTTTTTGAGACATTCCTCCCTGTTCTAAACTCTTCAGTCAGGCTTCATTTTCACTGAGCCATAACAGCCCTTCTCTGTGTTTTTATCTTAGTATGCATAGAAATTGTCCTGTTGAACATGTGATACCTGCTAAAATTGAACACTTTCAGATTTCACTGGTCTTCTTATGCTGCACTTCTGATTATCAGCAGGACTGTATTGCTGTTTTTCCCCCTAAAAACTGTTCTATGCTAATGTTCAGTTTTGGCAGTATCATTCCCAGTCCACTAGTGATGGAATTATTGTGTACATTATAATAGTAATACAGACACCTGTTTTTTAACCTCAAGCCTTGACCTTTTTAGGTTCTAGTTGCAAGGCACTGTGAATGAGATGTGTGATATGCACAGTGTATTCCCCACAGCCTTGTTAACAAGCAGTTTAACAAAAAGTTGTTAAACAATTTGCCCTGCAGGACAGAGTTAAACAGCAGGGGATAGGCACGGATGTTTGTGTAACTGGTGTTATGAATTGTGACCTCTTAGATCTGGTCAGAGGTGACCACAGAACATACTCAGCGAGCTGGAAATCCTAACATAAGGGTTGGTTTCACACATGGTCTCAACTGTTCCATAGAAAACAGAGATTATATCTTTTGTTTAGACCTAGTTGTCCTTCTGTAACTTTTGTGCAAAAGTTCTGTCTTGGGAACCGAATACTGTACATTAAATGATAATAGATGACAAAGTGGTGGAGATCTCTACTTCTTAATCCAATTATATAGGTGGAGATCTCTACTTTTTAATCCAATTACATGGTTAATAGGTAAGCAAAGATAGCCATGCTGGTCCACGAGATGAAAAAGAAAAGAGGGCCACAAGTCAGGAATTATTTTTATAAGGACCAACAAAAATGTGACAAAGATGTGCATTTTGCTGGATAGTACAAAAGAGCAGGCTATGAAAGAAGGAGCAGGAAAGTCTGCAGCTAAATTATGGCTACAAAGTCTGCAGTTTGGACTGAACCTCAAAACTGAGACTGTAGCTAATTACTGCTAAGTATGCAGATTACATCTAGAATCTATTTGTGGATAAAGAAGCAGTGACTACTTCTCTGTCTCCCTCCCCCCTCAAAAACAAAACAAAAACAAAGGCTGGCTGCAACTCAGAGATTGCCTCTTGCCTAAGGAGAGACTCATGTAACTGAGTCATGGAGCCTTGGAGTATGAGAGAAGCATGACAATATGACAATACAGCTGGAGATTATATTTTACCTGATACATTAGGTTAAGTAGGTTAATAATTGTTCATTTACCAGTGAAATTATTATCTTTGTAAGTTTTCTTAGTTAATTAGCATTTATGCAGAGTTGACAAATCAGGTCATTCACATTAGCATTCTAGGTTTTACAGAAAGAGGCATTTTCATCACAAGAAAAGACAAGGTATTTAACTTGATGTAACTACTGAATAATAAAATGGTAAGTCTGCCATTCCCATTTTATTATTCAGTAGTTACATCAAGTTAAATACCTTGTATTTTCTTGTAATGAAAATGCCTCTTTCTGTAGGCTAAACCGCAGAAGCCTGTGCTGCAGGGTCACACTGAATAATAAAATGTTAAGTCTGCCATTCAGTTTATAAACCACTGACACATTAAATATACTCTCCTCTTCTCTCTCCTCTTACTTATCCCCTCTCCCTCTTCTAGAATGAAGTTACAGGTCTGAATGTTAGTAGTCCTACAGGTCACTACCCTACTGATTGTGGCCCCTTCAGATGTTTTTAGCCTACAGCTTCTATCAGCACTACCATCAAAACCATTGGTGAGGACTAATAGGAGTTGCAATCTAAAAACATCTGGAGGGCCACGGTTGCCACTTAAGAGGTACAGTAGTTAGCATATGCACATTTGAAATAAAATAAAGCAGTTTAGGTAGGTTGCAAGCCTTTATACACTTGTCTGGAAAGGGACCTGCATAGGCATCCTTCAGTCTTGAGAGACTATGGTAACATGCTCTGAATCGAGGAGTGTCCTCTCCAGAGCATGAAGACTGGGTAAAGTAATATTCAGGATAGGCTGTTACCCAAGCAGCGGATCCCCCCTCTCCACATTGCTGAAATGGTCCAATGGAAAGGCAAGAGCCAATACAACTGGTTCCAGCAACGTCGCAGGATTTGGCAGAACAGTACGAACTGCCTTCGGGATTCAGATTAACTCCTGAAGCCTGGAAGGAAACCAGTTCAGTGGGATTTACTTTTGAACAGTTCTATATGAGATTGCACTGTAAATCAGATGTGTCAGTCTGCCTTTTCTACTATGAAGGAAGTTATGGCTTTGTTTCCATTGATTTTTATTTTAAAAGTTACTTGCACATTCATTTTTGCTAGTTTCAGTCCAGAGAAACAAGCAACCATATAAAGCAGTGGTTTCCAACCTTGGGTAATTCAAGTGTTCTCGGACTACAATTCCCAGAAGCCTTCACCACCAGCCGTGCTGGCCAGGGTTTCTGGGAGTTGCAGCCTAAGAAGACCTGGGTTACCCAATGTTGGGAACCACTGATATATAGAGATAAATGTAATAATACCAATATACCAGGTTTTTTGTTGTTGTTTACTCATTAAGTCATGTCCGACTCTTCGTAATTCCATGGACCAGAGCACACCAGGCCCTCCTGTTTTCCACTGCCTCCCGGAGTTGGGTCAAATTCATGTTGGTAGCTTCGATAACACTGTCCAACCATCTCATTCTCTGTCGTTCCCTTCTCCTCTTGCCTTCACACTTTCCCAACATCAGGGTGTTTTCCAGGGACTCTTTTCTTTCCATGAGATGGCCAAAGTATTGGAGCCTCAGTCTCAGGATCTGTCCTTCCAGTGAGCACTCAGGTTTGATTTCCTTTAGAATGGATAGGTTTGTTCTCCTTGCAGTCCAGGGGACTCTCAAGAGTCTCCTCCAGCACCACAATTCAAGGGCATCAATTCTTCGGCAGTCAGCTTTCTTTATGGTCCAGCTCTCACTTCCATGCATCACAACAGGAAAAACCATAGCTTTGACTATTCGGACTTTTGTTGGCAAGGTGATGTCTCTGCTTTTTAAGATGCTGTCTAGGGGTGGGTGGGGTTTAAAATAAATGCAACAGAACATTCACAGAATTTCAGTATAGCCTGAAAGTAGTTTAACCATCATTTAAGAAGTTAGGGTAAATAAGAGATATTTGTGTGATGATCCCAGGTGTGAATAGTAGCCCAAAGGTAGTGTAATACAACTCATAGACCCTTTTAGCATCTGGCACTTGTATTGCTCTGAAAGTTGGGAGCATTTGGGGGAGGGGCTCCAAAGCTGGTCATAGTCAATAGGCCAGTTCATCTGGTTATTTAGTAATGTCTTTTAGCATCTTTGCTTTAGTATTTTAAAGTCCTCATTTTTCATCCAGTTTATTTGAAAAACTATGTTTTTACATACGTAAAGTTAGCTTAGTAAATTACTGATTTGTTTATACAAGTCCAGTTTGGCTGACAGAATGCTAGCCAAAATGTATGTTGTGTCCTGAAGGGCAAATATGAGAGAGAGAGAATAGTGCTTCAGGATTAATTAACATTTTTAATATGTTAAAACTATTTTAGGAAACTTGTCTCTGTGCCAAACACATTAAAAACTGGCTTTGATCAGTTCATGATAATAGATATCAATCTATTAAGCCATTGTGTCATGAAGGTAGCTAGTCTAGTCCAAGATTAAAGATTCACTGGTAAATTATTTTTTGCTACTCACAAATGTACTCATTAAGATTTAATCTTATTGCAGAATTACCCGCGGGGATACCTGTGTTAGTGTTTTCCAGCAAAAACAACAAAATCCTGTGGCATCTTAAAGATTAACAAATTCATTAAAGAATAAACTTCTGTAGATTATAAAGTCAGCTATAATTTGTGAAAGTTTGTGTTATATAATGGTTATATTTTTATGGTGGTAGTTTTTGTTTGTTTGCTTGTTTGTTTTTTAGTCTTTTAAGGTGCCATATGATTTGTGCTGCATATCAGCACTGTCTTCTCTCTTAGCATTTTTGTTAAATGAACATAGGCAGATTTTGAGGCTCAGAAAGAGACTAGCATTTGTTGTGGGTACCCTCCCTACATTAAAAAAAATCAAGAGGTAACTCTGTCTTAACCAAACGGGCTGTGCTAAGATGAAATCAAAGGCGATAGTATGCTTAAAACTAAGATTTGTCCCCCCTCCTCCTCATACTATAAACGGTTATAAGATTGTGCAGGAAGGACAGGAGGTTCCTTCAAGAAAACACAAAAGGAGAAGGAGGGGTGAGATGGGATGAGGGAGCAGTTCAGGAATATTTGTCACACACATGGTCCACATTTAGTCTTGGCAAGCTTATTGAGTGTGGTATTAATTTTGACCTGTACTTACTTTCCAAAGTGTATAGTTGGATGCCTAGGAAAACATACAGATAGATTTAAAGAGGATACATAAATTAAAATTGGTAGATACTTTAAAATTATTTTGAGCATGTCACTTTAGTTTTTAACAAGGTATCTGGTAATTCAGCTTCCATGCTGAAAACCATCTCTAGAAATAGCTAGTGAATGTGCATACAAATCCATAAATATGCATAATTATTGTAACTGAAATCTGGTGTGGTTATTAAAGAACTTTGGCTATTCACTATTCACTTCCTTTCAAGCAGCATCCTCTGTCACTATTGAACTGAAGCACATTTTATACAGGAAAATTAGTTTCAGCAAAGTATATTTGTATATGAGAATTACCTTGGGACCATATATGAATGTGTGCATAGTGACCCTACAGCAGTATGTTTTACTTGGCATTGCAGTGCAGAACATGCAGGCTGAGAACTTGATGTGCAGGTGGGGTTGAAGATTTTTGAATGCTTCCCACATTAGACTCCTCACTTATTGACAGCCACCATCTCAAGAGAAAAGATTCATATATAGCTTTGCATGATAAATTATTCACATATGATTTCACCTACTCTTTTTTCACACCTAATTAGACCTGTGATTTTATATAGGTGCTTGATTCTACATCTTATTTAACCATAAAGGGCCATTTATGCCTCTGTGGAAATAAACAAAAAACAAAATGAAACAGAAATATACACAAAGAAAGAGACGAAAATGTGGAAATAGAAATATGCATACATTTAACTGCCACAATTTTCATAACTCCCCCCATTCTCCCTTTCATCTTTCATTTTTATCCTGGGATAAATAATTTGGTGTTTCACAAAATAATTTGGTCTCAAGGGCTTCACTAGGATTTATGGACTCATATTCAGAGAGGTAGGCTTTATGGAATTTGTTCTAGATGGTGCTATGAGGCGGCATCCTTGAAAATCAAAGGAATTTTAGGATTCTGAAAGGAAGACAAAAAGCTCTTGTACTATCCCAGTGGCCACTGATTTCATGAATTCATTCTCCTGAAGTCTTATCTATCTTGCCTTTGTTTCACCTCTGTTTTTCCATCTGGGAACAGCACTGTTAGGTGTCTGCTGCTTTAGAAATGAACAGTTACTCTGCAATATTTGTATTCTAAGTCTAGCAGCATCTCTAGACTCACATACTTTATTTTCATGTGTCGGCACTCCAGTTCAGATGTACATTTACCAGTTTGTGAAAACACAGGTGTAGAATGAGCATTGGGGTTGCCCTTGCCTTTTTTGTGATGATTCTTGTTAGTTTGAATTACAGGTTCCATTACATCTAAAATAGGAAACTGATTTCATAACTAGTTGACTAAGATTTTAAATCTAGGATTTTAAACTCTGCTCAAATATAATTTAATATCCCAGTGGAAGAACAAAGGGGTATGTGTGGTCCCAGTGCATATCTCTGGCATGGTAGTTTGTGATTTGGTCATCCAGGAAAGCTAGTTAAAACCTGACTAACAGCTTGTCCAATGCCACAGGATTTTGTAGAGAGTATAGATTTCAAACAGCTACATGAACCCCCCCTTTTTTTGCAACACCTTTTTACACACCTTTTCCATCTGTTTTTATTAACTGGGTGTTTGGTAGGTGGGTTATTATTTCTTTTCTTGCTGTTAGCCACCCAGAGTAGAGTATAATAATTGCATAATAATCTTAGAAGTGCAGAGCTGGAAAGGGACTGTATGAATCATCAAGTCCAGCCCTTATCAAGATGGCACAGTGGGGAATCGAACTTTCAACCTTTGGCTCAGCAACGTTATCAGCAGGGATAAAAATGAAATTAAATACATACACCCCACCTCCACACCCCCCCTCTGTATTGCTTTATATTCATAGTAACATAGTTTATGTCAGTTTGTTTCTCCATTATACTGTTTACCAGCATGTAAATCTTCATCATTGCTTTTATATGTTTAAGTGTGCAAATTTAATAGAAATAGGAAACAGCCACCTTTAAAAATGTTGTAACATCTGACTTTCTGAATTCTCTTTTTAGAGACCTTAATTGATGAACTGTGATTGAATATCCTGACACCACCCCAGTGACTTTTGTCTTTTGGAAATGGATCCAAAAATTGGCAATCTTACGTATGGCTTCCAGCGAAGCTCAACGTCAGATGATGACTCTGGATGTGCTTTAGAAGAATACGCCTGGGTCCCTCCAGGTCTTAGACCTGAGCAGGTAAGAGCAAACATTACTTCTTATATCTTTAAAGTTTTTTTTTTTTTAAAAAAGCAATCACACAGCTTTGTATCACTTTTATTTCAGGAAATAATTAATGAGGAATTAACATCTTTGATGCTTAGAATTCTTTTTTTAGTGACCCACATACAGTACAGTGAGTCAAGAAAATAAAAATGAAGCCAATTTTCCCCATTTGGGAAAGCAATAAATAAGCATTCTGTTTTTATAATTTTTAAAAAAGAAATAGTAGCTAGACTTTGAACCTTAAAGCAGTAAATGAATGCCATTTATAGTTCATCTGTACTTCCATAAACATAATACCCGACCTTCCTATTAGCAACATCCTTTTCTACGTCTATGAGTGAATGTGATTCCTGGGCCAGTTTTGTTTGTAAACATGTTTATAAAGATGCAGGGAAATGTCTGTAGCCTCCTTTGTTTTTTTTTTTAAAAAAATCTATTTTACTTTTAAAACTTTTTTTCAGGCTGTCACTTTCTGTCTTCGAGCTGGTAATCCAGTTTCCATATCACAATAAGCCAGAATCTTTTACAAGAAGTGTTTATGAAGGAGTAGATGTGCTGAAGCTCCTTGCCTGATCCCTCCTTGCTTTGCTGATGTTCCCTGGAAGCCTGTGTTGCATCTCGCTTCTTACCCTCTTAAGAAGTCAAAAATATAAACCAAAATTTGTTCATAGTTTTTGATTTTGGCTTGTTAGAAAAAGAACAGAGTGAAGATCCTACTCTGGATGATATGCTAAACAAAACCATGGCTTTTCATGCCAGAATAGCTTTTAACCCTGTTCAATGGATTTTAAATAAAATAAGCTCTTACAACACCCATTGTGTCTCTTAAAATGTAAACAGCATATTTTATAACCCATGGAGTAAGCAAACAAAAAGAAGCTTGTTTTGTACTGGGATTTATCAGTTTATATGCAAATAACCATCCTCTGTTTGGTAATCTACATTTAAACAATTAACAGAATGACACGATGGCCTGAAAACAACTTAGAGTTGAAGCATAATTATTGTTTTTTTGTGTTCTACTTTGTTTGGAAAAGGGAAAAAATTATTTTTAGCAAATTTCTGTATTCATCAAATATGAAATGCAACCCTGAAGTTCCTACAAGAATTCATATGGAAAGAATGAACTTAATCAGCAGGAGCTTACAAAACAACTTTATTGAATTCTGAGAGCAGGTCAGGCTTGTTAGTGTAGGAGTTTGGGGGTGGGTTCAAAAGCTTCACACATAGTGTGATAAAGTGCAGAAAGAAAACATGGAATTTTAACAGACCTCTTGAGTATCCCTGAAGGAGCTAGAAACTCGATGTGCATAATTTATGACACCCCTAATTGTCCCTGCAAGTTGCATTCCAGAATAGCAATTCAACAGCTGGGTGCTAGCTCTTTCAGGCAATCAAATTCTGCTGAATGGGCTCATCTGGTCCTGTTAGCAAGAGAAATGCAAACCTCCAAAGATATAAAGGAGAAAATCCTAGATTGCTTTGTAAACAAAGTCCACAGTAAGGTAATTGGTGAAGAAATTTTACAAAAGATTGTGGAGGTGATTGTTTGTATTTCTGGTTTTCCATTCAGGTGCAGCTGTACTTTGCTTGTCTGCCAGAGGAGAAGATCCCTTATGTTAACAGTCTTGGAGAGAAACACCGAATTAAACAGCTTCTTTATCAGCTGCCACCCCATGATAATGAGGTAAATATGAACAAGCATTTTAGGACTAGTTGAGCCTGGGCAGATGAATGAATTTCCTATATGTAGTATATGGAAGGGGGCTGTTGTACTTTTGGACAAGCAACTAAATCCAGTTCCTGATCCGAATTGAAAGTGGGATTTATATAAATCTTGATTTATATAAATCCTGAATTCTGCAGGTTGACTTTAATTAGAACTAGTCAGAGTTATGCCATTTCTGCATAGCATGTTGCTGGCCGCTGTACAAAATCCTAGACAGACACATCTTATTCTTCAAATTGTGTCAGGAACTTTCAGACGACATTCTATATAATGCCACACTTATGCCTTCCTTTGCCTCAAGAGCTGTGAGCCAAAATTGTTGTCAAGGTTTTATTCAAAATCTAAATGGTCTGCAAAATCTACATGGTCTGGCATATTGAAGTCTGCTGTGAGCTGTGAGCCAAAATTGTTGTCAAGATTTTATTCAAAATCTAAATGGTCTGCAAATCTACATGGTCTGGCATATTGAAGTCTTAACATGACCTACTTCTAAAACTACAGCTATTCAAGCATGATGCCCGAAACTGAGGAGAGATGAAAAGAATGGTGATGTAGAATTCACATAAGCTCTCTCACACACACAAACATCACCTCTGTGAGCCAAAATTGTTGTCAAGATTTTATTCAAAATCTAAATGGTCTGCAAATCTACATGGTCTGGCATATTGAAGTCTTAACATGACCTACTTCTAAAACTACAGCTATTCAAGCATGATGCCCGAAACTGAGGAGAGATGAAAAGAATGGTGATGTAGAATTCACATAAGCTCTCTCACACACACAAACATCACCTCCTTACCCAGAAGTCATTTTGACCATTGTGTAAGGAGTGTGAAAATCTGAAGTACATCGGACAAGTGTGCTAAGCTGAATTTGTGTGAATTTCCTGTGATTGAAAGCCTTGCCTTCTCAAGGTTCTCAGTCACTGGGGCTCTCGGAGTAGGTTCAGCTGAACACAGACTTCATTGCAGATCTTTGCACTACTCACACATTAGTGACTGCAGATGGAGAAGGGATACAAGGGTGGGTCTTACACAAGTAACCTTATCCTTACCATCCTTTTAGCTGTGCCTATGGTTTCAGGTATGACTCCTGATTAAGGCTGGAGTTTATTGCCTGAACTGTGTGTAAATAACACTGTCTAGGACAGTCTTCGTGAAGTGGATGACTGCTAGGTATGCTGGACCGCAGCTCTCAGAACCATGGGTAGTCACCATATCATCAAACACACACATAGACACACTCCACTATTGCCTGCCTTTCTTTCTTGGTAAAGTTGTAAGGAAGAGTGACTACACTGTTGAATTACATTGAGAGTTGTTTCAGGTTTCCTAGTAATTGATATAATGTCATGTGGTTTTGTGTTGGGGTGTGTGTGTCCTCATGGAAGCTGGCCTAGGAAGACCACCTGCACCCCCATGTCTTGCCTCTATGTTGCATATAGATAGGGAGGGGGAATGTCTCCCAACCTTCCACTGCCTGAAAGCTTCTCTCAGGCCAGAGGGTGGTTATGTGGTGGTGATTCTTAAGACCAGCCACACTGCTTTTTTCAACAATGCAGAACCGAGAGGGGCTGATAAAAGGCAGGCCTCCTAGTGAGTGCCCTTGCTTGAGCCCGAGTGCCTCCTGCAACAAAGTGCTGCAGTGCAGCAAAGAGCAGGGTAAGAAGACACAGCAAGTTTAGTAGCTGTGCAAGTTTAGCAGCAGGGAGAGGAAGTCAGGGCCCCAGATACGGCCTGTCACTTATCTTGAGAAAAGGTTTGTCAAGCTCTAAGCAAATATCAGCATGCAGCCAGACAGACAACAGTGGGTTGGGGGCTATCCTATGTTTTGCACCAAGTGTCGTATGAGTATATGCTTCCTGGGCAAAAACCATGGGTGTGTCCTTGTTGCAAGGAGCTCCAAGAACTCAGGGAAGAGGTTCGCTCCCTTGAGGTCTTGGTTGTGGACTGGGAGAAGCAGAGACAGGGAGCGAGGGACCACGGTGAGACTTCCAGGGACCTTCAGGCATCATCCCAGCTCCTCAGCTCAGGACGCCAATCTGGACAAGAGGGAAACCATCCCCCAGAGGGGTTCCCTTCTACAGGTGATGGGCCCGTATCCAGTTGCACTGAGGATACTCTTCGTGGGGAGGGGGGGAAGGAGGCTTCTGGTTGTGGGTGATTTGATTGACAGGAACATAGAGCGAGGGGTTTGTGATGGTTGTAAGCACCACATGGTGACTTGCCTGCCTGGTGCAAAGGTTGCAGACATCATGTCTCATCTGGATAGGCTGGTAGAGAGTGCTGGGGGCAAGGTAGCAGTGGTGGTACATGTCGGCACCAACGATGTGGGGAAATGTAACCGCAAGGTCATGGAAGCCAAATTTAGGTTGTTAGGGAGGAAGCTCAAAGCCAGGACCTCAAGGGTAGCGTTCTCAGAAGTGCTACCTGATCCACGTGCAGGGCCAGCTAGGCAGGCGGAGCACAGGGGTCTCGAGACGGTGGTGTCAGGGAGAGGGGTTTAGATTCATTAGGCACTGGGGAACATTTTGGGACTTGAATGAATATGAAACCAGACTGCTGGCACATAACATTAATACAGGTGATCATCACACATGCCAAAGCAAGTTTTAACAAGCATGACTAGGAGTATTATGATATGTAGTCAAGCCCAAACTGTTTAAAATACAGTGGTGCCTCGCATAGCGACGATAATCCGTGCAGCAAAAATCACTGCAAAGCAATTTTGTCGTTATGCGATTTTAAAAAGCCCACAGGAATGCACTGAAACCCCTTCAATGTGTTCGCGGGCTTCAAACTCACCTTAAAGCGAAGATCCTCCATATGGCGGCCATTTTCACTGCCTCTTATGCGAGGAATCCGTCCCTAAACACAGCGGGCGGCCATTTTTTTACCCGGCAGCCATTTTGGAACTGCCGATCAGCTGTTAAAAAATCATCACTTTGTGATGATCGGTAAGCAAAACAGGGTACCGATCATTGCAAAGCGATTTTTCCCCATAGGGCACATCGCAAAGTGATCGCAAAATCTTTATCACTATGCAATTTCGTCATTAAACGGGGCGCCCGTTAAGCGAGGCACCACTGTACATTGATTGAAATCTTATTGCTTCGTGTAGTAAGCCACAATCAAATGGAACTACGGTACTTTAATTGTGACTTACCAAATCCCCACTGGTTCCGTGGACCTACTCTAGTTGTAATATAGTATGCTAAGTATTAACAGGATTTCAGCTACTGTATTATTCCTGAGCCATAGCTTGTAAAACTAAATGCCTGTAAGTCGTTTTCTTCCAAATCAATGCAGGATAGCAGTACGTACACAGGCACTGACATTTGCTTCAGGTCACTGTCGCAGTTCTCCTTGCCAAAAAACAAAGCATTGCACATTGATGAAAAATAGGGGAAGTTCTATGGCTGTGATTTTAGATCACTTTCTACATTTGTTTGTTCGATTTGTCCTACATATGGACATGTGCATTTTGCTTTAACTTGACCGTATGCACAACCTTCTGGTTACTAAGATGAAATATTATTTTTTTTTTAAAAAAAGATACAGATATTTCTTTAAAACTAACATAGTTCCTGAATTTATTTTTTTGCTTAAGGTGAGATACTGCCAGTCTTTAAGTGAAGAAGAGAAGAAGGAACTTCAAATATTTAGTTCACAGAGAAAGAAGGAAGCACTGGGACGAGGCACAGTCAAAGTACTCCCCAGAGCAGTAATACATACCCTTTGTGAACAGGTAACATTCTTATTACCTAAGGAAACGTATTTGCTTAAACTATGTGCAGCTCAACTATTATATATTTAAAACTATATAGAAAGGAAAGAGAATGGTGTAAACTTTGGGGGAAAAGCACAAAGTTAGTAAGTTTACTTAAAATATATGAAGCTTGACTGTGTTAGACTAGGAAATTATCAAACCACAGCCGTAAGATTACGGTACATAAATCTGTGCTTTCTGTTAGAAGAAAACAGATAAATTAGGATGCCTCATGATTAGGCCAATGGGTAATAGTTTTGACTAAAGGATGATGATGAAATAATATTGATTATAGGGGAAAACTATTTTGAACTGTCCTGTTTGTTTCCAGTGTGGCACCAAGATAAATGGAGGTGAAGTTGCAGTGTTTGCCTCAAGAGCTGGGCCTGGAGTTTGCTGGCATCCATCTTGTTTCATGTGCTTTACATGCAGTGAACTTCTGGTTGACTTAATCTATTTCTATCAAGATGGAAAAATTCACTGTGGGAGACACCATGCTGAACTCCTCAAGCCACGGTGTTCGGCGTGTGATGAGGTAATCTTGCACTTCCCTAAGGCAGAACTGGAAATGAACCCTGCATTCCTGGTTCTGTTAAACAATTAACTTCTAACAGACAATTGAAAATCAAGAAATCTCTGGCTTTCCACATGTTAATTTCTTCACAAGTGAATTGACCATCCAAAAAATGTACCATTCAAAAACATTGTTAGACTTACTGTAATAGATAGCACTGTCTGCAACTTTGGACCTTTGACTAAAAAACTTTTCCTCCCTTAGATTATTTTTGCTGACGAATGCACAGAAGCAGAGGGCCGCCATTGGCACATGAAACACTTCTGTTGTCTTGAGTGTGAAACTATCCTCGGGGGACAGAGGTACATTATGAAGGATGGACGCCCATTCTGCTGTGGATGTTTTGAGTCACTTTATGCAGAATATTGTGAGACCTGTGGGGAACACATAGGTGAGTTTGAATCTTAATATAGACAAGTTGACACTATCAAAAGAAAGAAAAATATCAAAGCGGATGTTCTGAAAGGTCTTCTGTCTAGACGGGCTGATGAGATCAAGACTGAGAGACAATATGGTCTGGTGTGGGGTAGAGTTGGCACCCAGGTTTCTTGCAAGACCTTATCGCTATGTTTGAGGCTCTTACTTTCAAGTTAATATTTATAAGCCAGTGGGAGATTTCATTTTCTCAGAAGACTCTGCAGCTGACCTCAGAGTCATTATACTTCAGTAAGATATTTCAGTTGTAACAGCAGGTGCTTGCTGTGCTGTAAGTAAATTTAATTCTATTCCTTTCAGATTTAATTGGCACTGTGGATTTATTTACAATTTAAACTGTTAGATTACTATAGCACAGCTACATGTAGTGTGGAATTGTCACCACACACTTTTATTGTAATCTCTTTTGGTATGATCTGTACATTCAGATATACTGCTGTTCCTTTTAATTTCCTTTTTGTCCCACTGTTTTCATTGCAGCTTTATATTTAGACTGGAGTTTGCATTGCATCCTAAATTTTGTGGCACCTGAGAAGCTGCAAATATGCTGCATGATAAAGCATTTCATAGGACTAGAACTGAACTTTATCCATCAGTGAAATGGGTTCTAGTTTCAGTTTATTTGCTAGCCTTTAATGTGCCACAAGGTTTTTATTGACATTGGTATGATTTAAATATGTGTAACTTTGGGTTAGACTGTGTCTTTTGGTTCATGTTTTTTATTTTTATTAAATAAATGGTAATCCAGCATGTATGTACCAAATCCCTAAATATTTCTTTTTTTAAAAAAACACACAGGGGTTGATCACGCTCAGATGACTTATGATGGACAACACTGGCATGCTACAGAAACTTGCTTTTCTTGCGCTCATTGCAAAGTTTCTCTACTTGGCTGCCCTTTCCTTCCCAAGCAAGGCCAGATTTATTGTTCCAAGTCATGCAGCCTGGGAGAAGATGTTCATGCTTCAGACTCTTCTGATTCTGCCTTCCAGTCTGCTCGATCCAGAGACTCCAGAAGAAGTGTTCGTATGGGGAAAAGTAGCCGGTCAGCAGATCAGTGCAGGCAATCTCTCCTCCTGTCCCCAGCAATGAACTACAAATTCCCTGGTCTTTCAAGCACTGCTGACGATACACTTTCTCGGAAACTGGATGACTTAAGCTTATCAAGGCAAGGTGTTAGTTTTGTTGACGAAGACCTCTGGAAAGGAAGAGGGGAGGAAATCTCTGATGATCCAGAAGAGTGGGCTGAACATGAAGACTATATGACTCAGTTGCTCCTAAAATTTGGTGATAAAGGCCTCTTCCAGCAGCCAGTAGACCTGGATGTTAGAGGCAATGAGCAGTGGATATGTGAGGGTATGGTTAAAGGGAGAACAGAGTTGAAGAAAAATAGTCAAAGCCTAGCAAGTAAAAAATACCAGTCAGATATGTACTGGGCCCAGTCCCAAGATGGCTTAGGAGACTCTGCATATGGGAGCCACCCGGGTCCTGGCAACAGCAGGAAGATCCAAGAGTTGGACATGGAACACGGCACACCTAGATACAAATGCGACCAAAAGCCATGGTATGGCAATTCACTGGAGTGTTTGTCAAACCTGAAACAAGAGCAGTGTGTTCGGGACTCGATGGACTCTCTTGCTTTATCTAATATCACAGGTAAGATAACTAAGAATTCAGCATCATTTGGATACATTTATGTGGTTTAGCCTTGAGCTGACATTTTATGTTTGAAGCTCTGCCTTCCGTTATTATACAAGGTACTTGATACAGCGCAACGTTGGTTTCCTTTAAGTGCTCCCTGTGCAGGTACCAAACCACTCAAGAGACAAGAGTGTACTTCCTGTAGAGACAGAGACTTTTCCTGGCTGGCCTATTGAACACTACATACGGACATGTATTTCAATACATGAAGATAATTGCTGTGCATACTGCTCTATGCATAGTCATATCTTATTTAAGCAGGAAGCAATGGAAGGAGAGTGCTGGATGGGGTGGGAAAAAGAATGATAGTTCTTTTAATCCTTACCACCTACGGAGACTAATAGTAGAGAAAAATGTGAAAGTAAAGCTGAACTGATTTCTTACTGCAATCTTGAGAGGTTACTTTGAAATGCCTTTAATATTTTATCTTGATAGCTTACTTCACTGTGGCTGAAATCCTGTTGCTTAGTGTAATAAGCCAGTTCCTCCACAATGATTCAACAATCCCATTGATTCAAGTGGGTCTATTCTAGTTGTGACCTACTAGAGTAGGCCTATTTGAATCAACAGAACTTATGAAGGAGTTGATTCACCAAATTCCTACTGATTCAATGGACCTATTCTTGTGTAATTTATTTGCCAAATAATAGGATGTCAGCCTGTAAATAAGATTACTTCACCAAAACATAGCTTTCCAAAATAAGACTTCATCTACATTTTCCACATATGAAGTGTTTTTGTAACAGAACAGAGATGGTGGGCAGCAGTAATTCTTTAAACATTCTTCATTCCTCCTCTCTCTCTCTCTTAGGTGCTTCTGTTGATGGAGAAGTCAAACCAAGACCTTCTTTGTATTCCTTGCATACCTATCAGGAGCTGGAGACAGAGGACTGTGAGAAAATGAGCAACATGGGAACTCTGAATTCCTCTATGCTTCATCGGAGCACAGAGTCTCTAAAGAGTTTAAGCTCTGAATTATGTCAAGGTGAGCCACTGCCAGAAGAAAAGCCAGTGCACATGCCGGTACTAAGAAGATCCAAATCCCAGAGTAGACCTCAGCAAGTTAAGTTTTCAGATGATGTAATTGATAATGGGAATTATGAGAATCTTGACATTCGTCAGCCTCCTATGAGTGAAAGGACTCGGAGACGTGTTTATCATTTTGAAGACCAGGGGAAGAAACATCAACATCGTCGCAGGAGGAGTAGGAAGTCTCGGTCTGACAATGCACTTCATTTGGTTGCAGAAAGGAAGACCTCCCCAAAGGAGAGACTTAATTTTTATTCTCCCCAGGATTATGACAAGTTTGTTCAAAATAAAACTCCTCATGCAGTTCGGGCATGCACACCAAACTCGTATAGCCATTATACTCATATTGCTTCAGACTATGACCAGTTTCTTGGATTTTTTGGTGATGAGGAAGACTCTTGGTATTCATCGTCATCCTCATCAGATTCTGAAGAAGAAGGATACTTCCTGGGACAGCCCATTCCACAGCCCAGATCAGTGAGATATCCATACTATACAGATGTCCTTGCTAGTCCAACTGCTGAACTTCCCAGTTCTCAGTTTGGACAGAGGACAACAAAATCTAAAAAGAGGAAAATGCACAAAGGCAAAAACTGTATAATTTCTTAAGTTTTACTAATAATTATGAACTCTGTGCCTACACTGTTTTTTTAATTTTTACATAAATAAATGGTTTAAGTAAAACCTGGAACATGGGCACTCTGTCAAGGCCCTCTAGTAAAGAATGAACAGAATTAGGAGAGGAAAGAGCATTGCATAACTGTTCAGAAGACCCTGTTAGGGACTGATAATCAGCAAAATAATGGGAAAGAAAATATCAGGACTAAAACCAGAAAGGAGTCAGCATTTTTGGTTCAACTCTTGTCTGCTACTGCAGTTGTCTCAATAAAATTACTGGTTTAGCTGTGTTCACAGAATTCTAGAATTGTATAAGTTCAGGTGTGAAAAATGTGTGGCTCTCCAGATGCTAATTATCTGCAGCCCAAATAATACCTAAGGTGGCTCCCATTCCTCCTGTCTTTTCTGCAAGAACCACAGTAATATTTTGTTTCACTTTCCAAACATGTCATGTCAAAACCAAAGGTTGCTGTAAAATGAGCCAGTTTACAGCTAGTGTATTTTGAAAGTTTGCAGTTTACAAACCAGAGATTATGGTGTACAACAAGCCAGTTGATTTCAAAATGAAGTCTGGCATATATCACTTACTCACTGCAATGCAGTTAAAGTAGTCATGGTACGAAGAGAGCACACTAATCTTGAACCCATCGTTGGTCTCCCCGCTTGGAGTCTCCATGTATACTGGAGGTTCTTCTCTTCAAAACCCTGACTTTTTCCACACACAGAGAGGGTGAACATAAGCAGCATTACACTTCATTCTTCAGTTGCTTACCTGTCTAGATCAGGTAACACTTAACAGGGCTTATTGGAAATTATGGTTTATTAAAACACTCTGGTTCACACACAACGTGAAAATTTTGGGGAAATGAAACGAAATATTGTTCTTCCATTCATCTACTTAGGCAAAGCCCTTTTGGAGCTTTTAGTTTTCCAGGTTTCCCTGAGCAAGTTGCTAAACTGTGACATGTGCACAATCATTCTGATAGCACCATGTAATGTACTGAAAAAAAAAGAGGCACACAAACAGTAACCAAGGTATAGCTAGTCACTCTGTCCAAATACTGGAGCGTCTGTCTTTCCTTTGCACATGTAATGCTGAAATGGGCACAGAATGTACAACCTTCCAAATTTGTTGACTCTGAGTTTCTTTTACTCCCAGCAACCATAGACAATGCTTTAGCATACAAGAATCTGGACTTCAGCAGTCTCTGGAGCGGGGAGGGTTATCTGCCTCTGGGCCTAAGGTGCACTTAGCATTATGTAGAAACAATCTGTTCTGTGCATACTCTTTATTGACAAAACCCAACTGTTCTGATGTCAAAGATGCTCTGCTTCTGTGGAAGATCAAAAGCATTTGAAGCCCACCAAATTAACAATTTTCTTTTAATTTTTGTCTCAGTGATGCTTATGCAGGCAAAATAAATTTAACATGGAATGTTTATTTCCTTTAAAATGTGGTGTAAGATACTATTCCTGCCTATAAAGTTAACTGCATTAAGTTGGCGAGTCTGCTGACTGTTGTTGAAAAAAAGAAGTCTGGAGAATCCTGTATGTCTGAAACACTATTCCAGGTTTCAAATGTAGTATATGAACAGCTGTTCGAACCAACAAATATTTATAAATTTAGTATTTCATAGCTCAAATGTGTATTACAGTGCAAATATTGTACATATTGTAAAGTTAAGATTTAACAGACTATTTTTATATCCCTGAATTGCAAGACATTTGTTTAAAATACAAGCATAGTTTTAGTTGAGGGTTTACCATCAGCTTGGGTCAGACAGGGGTTTGTTAAATTTATAGTAGTGAAATGTTTAATTTGACAGTAAAGCTCTGTTTGCATGGTGGAGCTATGTAAATACTGTTTAAGCTATGGTTCTTAACATTAAAGGAATTATTTATGAGTAAAAAAAATAATCTCTGTAACTATCAACTGCCCATGCACATCTGTTATGTAGATATCTACCAAAACACACCATTCAGTATAACATATGACAGGCACTAAGCTGACCTCTCAATACTGAATAGGGGTTGTCTATAGTCTTCCATAAATACCCTTTATAAAGGTGATTTATACCACAATAATGCAAACTATAGAACTGAAAAAGGAAAAACACCTCTCTCACGTACCGTCTTCAAAGTTGGCCAAATTTTGCTGTACTATGCTTTTAATAAAGGTATTATGACAATACCTATTCTGTTTTCCAGTCCCTACCCTAAGATGACATTTATATGTAACAACACTCACTGTTGATCATTTCTGTTGAGTTTATCCACAATAATCTCAAGATATTTCTTGCTTAGACAGTATCAACTCTAATCCCACTAGTACATATAATACTAGGATTATTTTCCACCTGCTTACACAAAATGACTATTTTATCATTTTTGTTCCCCATTTACATGGTTTGGAGCTCTCAGATTTCCAGGCTTTCCTGAGCAATCCACCCAGCTACACCATGAGTGCCCTTAATCTCATAGCTCCTATATCAATGTACTGGAGAAGGAAAGCAGAAATGGTACAGGAGAAAGGATAATAATTATGAATAGTGTCAAATTCCTCTGTACCAATGTACCGTTTATTACATGATTCTGGTTAGAACAGCTGCCTTTCATAGAGCAATTTGTAAAAATAGACATCCTTTAATATACTAGAAACAATGAATATTCAAGGAGCAAAACAGTATATACATTATCCCATTACGTTGCTTCTGAAATTAAATACATACCATTTCCCCTACAATAAGACCTAACCTGAAAATAAGCGCTAGTATTATTTTTCAGGATGCTCGTAATATAAGCCCTATCCCAAAAATAAGCCCTAGTTAAGTGAAATCCCATCCTCCACCATTGTGCAGCAACCAGAAGATGACATGACTGTATTTGAATAAATGTAGATTGTTATACTTGAAAAAAAATAAAATATCCCCTGAAAATAAGCCCTAATGTGTTTTTTGGAGCAAAAATTAATATAAGACCCTGTCTTATTTTCGGGGAAACAGGGTACTAAAGATGGATTCTATTTTATTTATAATTATACTCTGATGCCCCGCTTGATAACGATAATCCGTTTCAGGAAAATCGCTGTTAAGCGAAATCGTTGTCAAGCGGGGGAACCATTGGAATACATTGAAAACCGGTCAATGTGTTTCAATGGGGAAATACCTCATCGTCCAGCGGAGACTGCTCATAGACAACCACCGATCAGCTGTTAAAAATCGCTGTAATGCAAAGCGGGTCCGGAAAGCAGTCATTTTGTGAAGGGAGGGAAGCCATTTTGCGGAACCAAAAAAAATCATCGTATAGCGAACGGTTCACGAAGCAGGCTCCTAATCAACGTAATGCAGATTTTCTCCATTGGAACCATCATTTTGCGATCGCAATGGCGATCACAAAAAGTCACTGTTAAGCAATTTCAATGTCATGCGGGGTAGTCACTGTTAAGCGATTTCAATGTCATGCAAGGTAAGCGTCAAGCGGGGCACCACTGTACATGAACTATATCAAGAAAATGCAAATTCTCAAACTGAATTAGAATTATTTTAATTACAGGCCATTTCAATTTACAAAAAATGCTAAACAAAAGGAGATGCTTGGTGATTATGTTCAAGCAATTGTTTACTCAAATTACAAATGGAACATCAAATGCCTATTCTTCCTAATCACAACAAATGTAAATATACATAAATACAATTATACTGTATATACAGTCCTGGAGTCAGTATTAATAAAATTACAAAACTGTCCAATGTATTCAAATAGTAGCCTGTTTCCGTACTGGAGTATCTCTAAAGTCAAACGGAATGTACAAATTTGCAGACTGAGATTTAAAAAATGACTAACACTGTCTTAAGCGCACTGGTTTTCAGAAGGAAATCATGAAATAATTTTCTTGTCAGAACAGCAAACACATTATACAGCGTTCGGCATTTATTACATTTCATGAGGAGATAAAATTCTGTGATAAGGTGTTGAAAGACATTTAGCATCCTTTAACATTAATACTTACATATGAACAATGGAGACTTGATTTCAAGGTTCTTCAAATTCTTGATTTGCAGTGTCATATTCTGCAATGAAGTGTTTAAGTTCTTCAATACACCTTTCACCAATCTCATGCAAGTTTTGTCTCAAGGAAAACTGAATAGGTTTTTCTAATGAAGGGTCTTTTTCTATCAACATCTTTACTACAGCACCAAAGGTTTCACAGTCTTGTCTGTAGACCTAGAAGTAATTTTAGAAGTTCATGAAACAAGATGTAGTAACATACGTATATACTCCACTCCAAACTGCATAAGCAATAAAGTAGCAAGCTAACTTGTAGTATGGACCCCCTCAAACATACAGATTAAACACCTCCCAATTTGAAGTACAGTATTAGAAGATGGCAGTGTGCACCTTTTCACCCCAAGATTCCGGATTAAGATTCCCCAGCAGAAAATAGGATTGTGCTATCGTCAGCATTCAGATGACATACTATGTGTCTTTTTCCATCTTTTAATCCCAGGGAAATGATAGTGGTCTTGCTTGTCTGGACAAAGATGATTAAGGGCAAACAAAATGAAGTGTAATCAAAGATACAGCAGACCCTGCACTGACAACCTAACTGGTTTCCTGAAAACATCTATAAAGTGAGCTGTTTTAAGTCAAACCCTATTTTTCCATTAGGCTGAACAATAAAGGTTTGGTTCCTGGAGAGTTATTAAATTTCTGCTGTCTTGTCATTCATCCCTCATACCTTCTTGCTCTTCCTGGCTTTCTGCTCACTTCCCTGACTTCTGTTCTCTCAGTTCTCTCCCATACCTCTTCTCTCTAGTGTCTCTGTTGACTTCAGCTGTCCTGTCTCTTCTTCATTCCACCTCTTCTCTCTAGCTTGCTTGTTGGGCACGGGTGTTCATCTGTCCTCCCACCCACCTCTATTCTCCTGCTGCCATGCCTGGTGATATAAATGTGCCAGTTTACAGCACCAGCCAGAAGGGCTGTAAAAGTGAGTTCTGAAAGCTCGTGGGTATTGGCTATTATATGAGCAGCTATAAAAGCAGGGGGTCATACATTAAGCCATAGGAGGTCCCTCGTAGTCCAAAAATTTCAACAAGTACAGAATGCCTTCTAAAGAAAATGTCTGCTGTAGTTACTAAGGGTTTAAATTCTATGATACAAATTCTCTACTGATTTAATAATTTCTGGGCTCCAGTTTAACTTTTGTGTTCTGCCTGATATCTTTTCCCATACTGCTCAACTGCTCTGGGACCATCCTCTTTGACTTCCTCACTACAAGAGGGATGCAAGGATGAAATTTTACTTTTAAATTTAAAATACACATTTCTGTTCTGCCTTCTTGGGTAAAACCCTGCCAAGGTAATGCTCATAAATTGACAATGGAAACAGCATAAAACTGTCTATCAGATGAAGGATAGAAGAAAATATGTTTCTATAATCTTTAAAAACCATCACTGGGGCATCTATACTTCCTAGGACCATCTCAGAAATAACAGAATCACCCTTGAAATGGCCCTCGTGGTCATTTTAATGGTTCTTAGGAGTTTGGGCCCTATAAAGTTAATCAGAAGACCTCTGCAGCTTCATATGATTGTAAATGGTCCTTCAGATAAATTGGTTGCATACCTTTATAGCATTTCTTGCTCAGTGTTATTATTTAAACATTAGGTTCTAACTAACAACATCAACTTATAGCCCTGTTCCATGGGAAGAAAGTGCGGAAGCATTACAGTCTTATCTCACAGCTGAATTAGCTGAATGGAGATCAGGTTTAGTAACTTTGTCTAACATGGAACATCTGCCATTAGCTATTGATGGATAATCTTTTTATCAGTTCCCTCCATTTTTATAAACTCTTAAGCATGTAACTAGAAACATATTCAGTATCTCCCACTGGTTTCAACAAATTTAAGCTAGCTAATCCGATACAAAATCTTCACAAAAAGCAAGAATCCCAATTGGGCCTTCTCGGCGGTGGCTCCTCGCCTCTGGAACAACTTACCTCCTGATATTCGCGCGGCCCCCTCACTGGGTATTTTCAAAAAGCAACTAAAAACACTGATGTTTCGGCAGGCCTTCCCCCCCAGCTAATTCTTGATTCCCCTTCTTTTCTCTCTCCTAGTGCTTAACCCTATTGTTGAAAGTTTCTTTTATGTAAAACTGCTTTTATTCATTGTTGTACCCCTTGTTGTAAGCCGCCTAGAGTGGTCTTAATCGACTAGATAGGCGGGATATAAATAAATAAATAAATAAATAAATAAATATGCATAGCACAGATATTAGAGACCCAGATATTCGTTTTTTAAAACATAGTTTCTGAAGCACATTCTGTAGTAAAAATCTGCTTCAGAAATAAGACCTACTTTGATCTTCTACAGTTCAATCATCCTGAGTATATTGAAGTATTACTTCATATCACATATTTGCAATCACTATCACTACGGTAGTCACCTGGCAAGTGTCCCAGTGGGAAGGAGGGAAATGGAATGAAAGTATCACCTAATTATAATGCAATGCAACTAGTGACTTTGTCCTGCTGTTAGTCTAATTAGATGGTTCAAAAGGTATAAACTGTTAAACCTGTACACATGCTGAGCAGCCATTTTCCTCTCATCAAATAGTCTAAATAAAGAAGATACACCATTGTCAGAAGAATCCATTCTGTATATGGATTTCAGAAGTCTACTTCATAATTGCCAAATTATACATTCTCCACAGCAAAACCCTTGCACATCTGTTTGTTGCTGTGATATATGGCAAAGTGGGTTTTGTTGCTGATTGCTTCTACTCAGTTTTTTAAATGTTACTTTATTTTCGCAGTAGAGGCCTTTACAAAAGGATGGACCGGGGGTACCCAGGGACGTTTCTAGTAGTGCTGTAAAATAATTCCATATGTCAAGAAAAAGTTGCAAAGAATTTTTGTGCTCAAAATGAAACAGTCAACATGGTTACTTTTATCCCATTTAAAAAAGGAATCAGAGGAAATAAAGGCATAGAGTTGTATATTAGGGCATAATAAAATGCAGCCTGTATGAAAGAAGCAACTATGTTATTAAAGAGTCTGGATAATAACATACTCTTACAGCCATGTAACTGAGACCAACACAGTGACTTACTAAAAGCCACCTACCAAAAACTTTGCTTCAACGGGTTTTCACTGAAATACCTACTGGACTAACAGCAATGTAGAAACAAAATACTGGATTGAGCAATACCTGAGTTTGACCACTAAAAATAGATCCATGGCCTTGGTAAAACCTATTGGTAGAGGCGGGAAGAGGGAGAGAGGCAGGCTTTTGTCTACATAGATGGGAGACATTGCAAACGAAATATCTTTCTGATCTCCATCTCATATGTGGAACCTGCATACCAACCCAGAAATTTCCTAATCCTTAAGAAACAGGGAAGACTGCAAACTCCATGGATGGGGCATCAGCAAAAAGTGTGCTCCCCACATTGCATGAGCTGAAATGCTTTCTGCCAAGCACCAAATCTATAACACACCCCTTTAAAATGTATTAAATTCTTTTAATTGATTGTCAAAGATCTTTTAAAAAGGACAAATAGCTAAATATATTTCAAAGCACAACTAGGAATAAGTTGCTTTCCACTACAGGAAGGACCCACCCTTCAATGATTTATTATAAAAGCAGAAAACTGAAAGCTGTTTCCTAAAAATGTCCCACAATAACCTTATTTCTGTGCCAAACACAGGAAGGGCGGTGCTTAATCTACAAATATTGTTTGCCTAGTATTGATTTGAAAGCTAGAAATGCATTAATAATTCTGTTTTTGTGTTTGTAGGGCCACACAGGAAGCAGTTATAATGTAGACCTCACCTAAAGAAGGACAGAGGTTAAGTAAAGGCGGAGTTCATTGTTCTGGCAAGGAAACAATACAATCCATTTTTAGTGAGATGAAGGAATGCAATTTGCTATTGAAAACAGATATTCATTTCAACAAAGGGTTTTAATAAGGCCTGCTTCTATCCATGCACCACAGAGAAATTCACCCATTAATTTCTAATAGATCTTGTATTTCCCCCCCTCTGTAGACTAATTTTACACACCCTTTGCTCTAACTAAAATAGCAGACCAGGTTGAATATCAAGCTAAAAAAAAAGGTACAAGACACAAAAACATAGACACACATACTTTACAATGGGTGATTTTTCACATACTGAACAGGCTGGCAAGACAGGAGAAGAGATGCCAAATTCAAAGTAACTTACTGGTTGGTGTCAGGAAAACTATTTTTTAAAAATCTGCCCTTAACATTTAAAAAGTCAAATTCTGTGCCACATAGGTAAGAAACAGAAAGACGTAGTGGGTCAAATGTAACGATTCTGTAAGCTTCCAAGGATTTGATTTCTTGTAAACCACTGGGCAGCATGTCATTTTGGGCAAGATGTTATCTTACTGGGCAAGTGCCTGTATATATCAATGTAAGATTAGTGTAAGTATGTGGAGCTAGTTTAGACCTTAGGTTTGTACATCAAAAATATATATTCCTGCACAGAAATACAGGAGGATGAGTTTGGTTGTCCCATCGAGCGCATCTGGGATCAATATAATTGAGGTAAAAAAATAAAAGGAACATGGTAGTTGAAGTCTACTACTGCCAACCACTCAATCAAGAAGATAAGGATGATCAATGTAAGATTAGTGTACAAGTATGTGGAGCTAGTTTAGACCTTAAGTTTGTACATCAAAATATATATATTCCTGCACAGAAATACAGGAGCATGAGTTTGGTTGTCCCATCGAGTGCATCTGGGATCAATATAACTGAGGTAAAAAAAATAAAAGGAACATGGTAGTTGAAGTCTACTACTGCCAACCACTCAATCAAGAAGATAAGGATGAAACCTTTGAAAAATAAATGGTAAGAATTTCAAAGAGACAACATAGCTCAGCTACCCTGTGAGGATGAAAAAATGGTAACAGACAACAGTGGAAGGACAGAAGTGTTCGATTTTTACTTTAGTATTTTCCCAAAAGACCATCTAAAATCCTCCAGGCAAAGTACAAGTAGAGAAGACAGGACTGCTGCTTGAGACTGATAAACAAATAGTCAAATTTTTACTTTGTATTTTCCCAAAAGACCATCTTTAATCCTCCAGGCAAAGTACAAGTAGAGAGGGCAGGACTGCAGCTTGAGACTGATAAACAAATAGTCAAGGAACACCTCATTACTTTGAACTAGTTCAGTTCTCCAGGGCTGGATAAACTGCATCCAAGGACTATTGAAGGAACAGGAGGAAGAACTCTCAGAAGCACTGTCCATTACTTTTTTAAAAAACCATGGAGGACGTGTGAAGTGCCAGATGACTGGAGGAGGAACAAATTTGTCCCTGTCCTCAAAAAAAGGCAAAATAGAAAACCTGGGAACTATAGACCCATCAGCCTGATAGCAATTCCAGAGAAAATTCTATATGAAGCGATGACTCTGTGAGTACCTTGAAAACAATGCAATAACAACCAGAAGCCAACATGGATTTGTCAATAAGACCAATCAGCCTGATAGCAACTCCAGAGAAAATTCTATATGAAGCGACGACTCTGCAAGTACCTTGAAAACAATGCAACAACAACAAGAAGCCAACATGGATTTGTCAATAACAAATCCTGTCAAATTAATTTTATCTCCTTTTTTGATCAGATAACCTGCCTAGTAGACAATGGAAATGAAGTCAACATGTATATCTTGACTTCAGCAAAGCTTTTGACCGTGTCCTATGACATTCTGGTAATAACCTAAGTATGGGCTGGACAGAATAACTGTCAGTTATAGAGTCTTATTCAGAGAGTGCTCATCAACGGCTCCTTCTCAGAATGAAATCAACATGTATATCTTGACTTCAGCAATGCTTCTGACCATGTCCTATGGCATTCTGGTAGTAACCTAAGTATGGGCTGAACAGAATAACTGTCAGTTATAGAGTCTTATTCAGAGAGTGCTCATCAACGGCTCCTTCTCAAACAGAGAGGAGGTAACAAGTGGAGTATCACAAAGCTCAATTCTGGACCAGATGCTCTTCATTTTTACTAATGACTTGGATGAGAGGGTGCAGGGAATTCTTATCAACTTTGCAGATGACACAAATACAGGTGGAATAACTACTATAGTAGGACCTCATCTGCGGGATTGATATCTGTGCCTTGCACAGCCCTATATATAACACACAAGGGCACCCCCTTGTGGCCTATGTCCCATTTCTTTATATGTTTTATATAAAGGTTCTCTCATATCTGCAGTGTCAGGCATCCAAAATAGATTGTGGAACTGATCCCCATGAATATGAGGGTCCTACTATAAGAAACAAATTTCAAAAGTATCTTGGTAAGCTTGAGCGCTGGGCTGAAAATAATAAAATGAAATTTAACAGGAAGAAGTGCAAAGTTATATACCTAGGAAAAAGAAGCCAAATGCACAGTTACAAGATGGGGGATAACTGCTTCAGTAATACTATGTGCATGAAGGTTCTTGCAATCATTGTAGATCACAAGCTGAATATGAGCTAACAGTGTGATGTGGCTACAAAAAGGGCAAACGCTATTTTAGGCTGCATTAACAGAAACACAGTCTCCAAATCCTATGAAGTACTCATTCCCCTCAGCTGTCAGTAATACATTAATCAACCCTATATCACTATCCACCCACTGGTCTGTTTTTGTAACAATTAGGGGTCAAATTAACAGAGGCAGATAAACCTTGTCTTTTGATTTTTTAAAAAAAGTGACACAACTTGCTTCAAATTTTAAAAACAGTCAAAGTCCTCTTGCATTTTAACTTTATGACATGATTAAGAACAACTAGTCAAAAGTTGAACAGCAAACCTAATTCTGACACTAAGACACAAACAATATTTGCAAAGGTGTAAGCAATAGAAGGCCAGGCTTACTTGCTCAATCTCCTTTGTTTTTGCAGCAATTGCCTTTGTGCGAGTGACATGCTGGGCTTCTTCAAACAACTCATTATTGCCTGTTACATCAGCACCTGTTTCTTCATGGGGTTCCACATACAATGGTTCTGGGGCTGCAGCCTTTAAGACATGTATAATAATGAAAAGTATGTGGTGCAAGCCGTTATGTCAAAAGATACAAAATTAATATTCACATTGAATTAATATGCAAGGAGCTTTCATATACTACAGGCAAACTTAAAAGAGAAAATGCAGAGAAAACTGCCCACATTACTACAACCAGTGGAAAGTTATTTATAAAGATCAACTGAATCAAATTCATCCGGATTTAAAATCTTTTTATCAATCTTTCTGTAAACATTACCTAACTATTACCTGTACTGTAAAGTTAACCTTTGTTACAGATATTGTATTAGAAATTCAGGAAACAATCACTCAATTCTTAAGTGTGCAAACAGATATTGAAGAGAAAAAGGCAGAAAAGCAGGGGACAGAATCCAGCAAATGGAAGTGGGAAACAGCTGTATTCAGGCAGATAATGTTGGCAAAGTGCCTGCTCCAGAAGAACCCTCCTAAAAATTTTGGAGATGTATTGCCTTGTCATGTACAGGGACAGCTCAAGGAAAACTGTTCTTGTTTTCTCTTAGCCACTGATTGGCTAGCCACCATGGCTCTAGAGCTGAGCTATGCACACTAATTGGCTATGCCAGTCATCAATCTAGCTCTTTCTAGTCTTTACAAAGACTTTTGCTATATACAAACCAATGAAAATTTTAATTTTCTACAATTTAAGGCAGAAATTAATAAAACTCAAACAATTACGTACTCTGGCCAAAAAAGAAAGATCGATCAATTTTTGTATTAACTGCCAGACATAGTTCTCCAAAAACATAATTGCGGGTACCAAAGACTGCTCAAAAGGGCACCTACTGTACTTTAAATAATCACACACAGTAACAATACCATATTAGCTACTATTGGACCAATACCGAACTTTGGTCACTAACTTGAAGGGACAGGCAAAGATCAAAGATGAGAGTTCATGCAGAAAAGTATCTGTTGCTATTCTTTTGTCTTACATCATACTCTGAAATTTCAGGTACAGTGCTTGTGTCTGCTTTTTCCACTTTGTCTGCTGCCCACCTACTACCTGCAGCCTCTGCAAGCTCCTTTTCTGATAATCTGCTACTTTTGTCCAAGGCCTGACGAGAAAAAGAAACCCAGATGTGTGGGCGTTATTGTTATGTTCTTGTGTACAATGTTATATTTAGAAAGCAGCTGAAAGAAACAGTTTCTCGGAATCATTAAGAACACTCACATTTTCTTACAGAACCTGCCTACTGGATTTAGAATATCCTAAATGCTCTGAAGCGCATAACTCCCGTGTCACTCCACATCAGAACAGAACTGTGGTTATTAGTATCTCTAGTACCCCCTCACATGAAACTACTTGTTCACAAGTTAGCACACAAGTTAAGCAACTTTTAAAACATATGCAGGATTTCTTACCACCTTGAAAGAGTAAGTCAAGGGGGGAAATTGCCAACATTTCTCCAAATCCGTATCAATATATTTAATATTTTAGAAAATATGTTACAGATGTATAGATATCTAAAGCTTAAAACTACTTGTGTAACTTTAGAACCAAGAACTATGATGCAAGCTAGACTGCCTGCATGTGAATTACAGTTTTCAAATTTCAAATTTACCTTTGAAGGTGTTGTTCCTGAAGGGGATACGTCCCTTGAAGTTTTCAAAGGCTGAGATACTGTCCTCTCTTTATCTATAAGGAGAAAAACATAACAATACAATTATGATAGCAAAGGTTCAAAAGGAAACTTTGCAAAAGTACTTGTTATCCACCTGCTTATCCAACCATCATGGATCCTGTGAGGGATTATACCCCCTAACTCATTTTAAATAAAGGTCTGACTTCTGAGAATAGAAGTGAAACTCCAAAAGCTTTTGCTAAGCAAAAAAAACACTGGATTTTGTACAGGAAGGACAGGAATACTCTGGAACACTAAATGTAACCAAATGAAATATAGAATAATTAGATTTTGATATATTAAGTGTTGGTCAAATTCTTATGTTTAATAGACACATTATGTTTAATATGTCCAAATATTGCAAGATTTCTTTCTTTCTCTGGAGCAGTGATTCTCAACTTTGAGTTCCCAAATTCTTGGACTAAAACTACCACAAATCCTGGCCAGCACAGCTAGTGGTGAAGGCTTCTGGGAGTTTTAGTCTAATAACATCTGGGGACTGAAGGTTGGGAATCATTGCTCTGGATGAGATTTTTAAAAGTAAGATATAGTACACTGAAGGATGCAGTTAATCAAAGTTATATCAGACTGTTCATCTACTTGGGAAATGAAGCTAGAATTAAAAAACAAATACAGGGTTATATCAACCGGTGTCCTTCCACTGACAGAAAACTCTCTGATCCATTGGAATGGAGAAGGATGTGTGCAAACTCCCTCTCTCGTAGCCTCTCATACCACCTCCCACGCTGTTCTGAAGGGTCCCCCAACCCTCTGGAGCAGATTTACCTTGTTGAGAAATATTTCTTTTATGTAAAGATGACATACTTCTGCTATGCTGGGACTGGTGGAAGGCATAGGCTTTGCTTCTCTCTGGAGAATAACTTCTGCTGCTGACACTGGAGCCAGATCTGCTGTGAGGAGATTCCCTCCTGCTGATTGGTGACTCCCTGAAGTAAGGTGAATCCCTCTTGTGAGGGGAGCGATCTCTATCATAATGAGGAAAGATGGGTTTTCGCCTCATGCTGTCTCTCACGTCCCTTTAAAAATTACAGCAATCGTAAAAATGGGCTTTGTGGGGAGACATTAAAAAAATCTGGAAGTTTTACTCCATTTTCATGTCTACTCAGGCCTAGAATGTTATTTTTTTTTTCCTGAAGGAGAGTTTTTTCTATACAAAACAATAAACTGTATTGTCTTCCATAGCTGTAAATCTTTCCTTTTGAAATCACAGATATTTTCATGGTTTCCTGTGTTACAACAAAAATGAATTTCCTGCCTCCCAATATAGGTAAACAACAATATTCATAAGAGTAACAACATTTATCCCTTTTCCCTTAATGTTTGGCCTTAGGAAGTTTTGGAAAACTCAAAACCTTAGTCAGTATTGCATGGTATTATTTGGCATTGGCTAATATGATTCTGATATAGGGTATCCTGATATGTCCTTCTAGGAACTGGGTCTTTCATTAGGTGATTCCTGCACTGAGCAGGGGGGAAGGGTTAGACTTAATGGCCTTAACAGTTTCCTTCCAACTCCATTATTCTATGATTCTAATGTTTTAAAACAACAATTTTAAGGTGATGAAAGCAAGCCTCCAATCATCACCAGAAGATCTAGCACCACAACATGCAAAAAGACTGCACCTGGGCATTAAATTAAAGCAAAACATACAAGAAAAATTGCACAATAATCATGAGCAAAGCTTCAAACCATAGAGACAAGTGTAGAAAATAACACCAACTAGATATACATTAGGAACCTCCACACAAGCCAGGAAATACGAGAGGGAAAATAAAGAGCTTTCACATCTTCACACCACTTTTACAACCATTATATTGCCATGAAATAAAGAGAAAATATTTAAAGTAATCTGAAACAAAGAGCAGCTTGCTGTTCTACTTTGTAAGTGTACCAGTTTAAATGTATGACCCACAGCCACACACAGAAGCAACAGCCGAATTAAAGATATGTGGAGAAAAAGAGCCCTCTAGTGTACATCTCGAAACAACAATTTCTATAAGCTTTTTATAGAAATGTAGCTAATAGTACAGTCAGCTGGATAGCTCACTGAGTTGCAGTATAGGCACGAGTAGTTCATTTCCCCCGTGTGTCTCCTGGGAGAAAAGGCAGCCTGTCTAATCTTGGACAAGCTACACAATCCCAGAGCACTTCCAGAAGGCGAGAGGGGTAAGCTACTTGTGAGTACTCTACATCTGGAAAACCCTGAAAAGGGCTGTGGGTTGGAATCAACTCAAAGGCATGCAAGTATAAGTATTGTTGTCGTCATCATCCCAATAACTAACAATATACGCAGCATCACTAGTGTAAAAACAGATATGCCAGTTTGTTAAAGTTGTTAACAAACTGTTAGGTTTGTTAACAAACTCCTTTTCCTTTCTTGAATAATAGCGCAGCTATGTATCCTAAATTAAAGCACACACATCTAAAGGCTTAGAACATATATTTCCAGCTAAAGCTATTCATTGTATGGATGCCTAGAAAGCTTCCTACAGAACCAAAAGGTTTCGAATACTGAATCTCCTCTTTCTTCATTTCAATACTGACTTCATACAGACTTTGTAGCTTCAGCAGAAAGCCTGTGTTTTCTTTCTCTCTGTTCCCTTGTCTGACTTTACACACAGTTTTGGAGAATGCAAAGCTTAATCAGTGTTTCATGACATTTTTAATTGGTCTCATGGGCTTTTGGATTTTTCTGGTTTTCAAAGAGGTAACCCTGTTAAGTCTGTTTCAGCATATATTTTAATAATAATAATAAAAGTAGTATGATATCTAATAGTGCGACCTTTTGTGAATTTTTAAAAACTGATCAACATGATTTCCTCAGCATTTTGTGTCACTTTCTACACACACTTTTCCTTCCTTTCATCAACTCTCACTAAAAGGTCTGTGGCTTCTAGCTTTACATATTATCCTTCCAACAGTCAATGCACAACATTTTATGCTGGGTGTAAAATGTTCTAGATATTAATGGACTCCACTCTCAACAGCCCCAACCAGTATCCAAAAGATGGTGGGAGCTGTAATCCAGTACTGTGCCACTTGGGAAGCAACTGCCTTACTGTCATAACATCAATAATAGCTGCCTCAGACCCATTTTTCACTGGCACATTGTTTCTACAATCACATGCCTCCACATCTTCAAGTCTCTTTTCATTCAACTCATCTGCCTCGCTAATTGAAGTTCTCCTATTCTCAGAGCAAGGGATTTAGTTCTAGCTGACGCCTCACTTTCTGTAGAAGATACTGCCTATGAACATTCTATGCTATCAGATTCATACACTCAGTATATTTATCAGCATTTCAAAATGCAAGTAAGAGCCAGATATTTATCTTAAATATGGTTGGGAAACAAACAAAAATCAGCAACTAAAACTGTGCTAATTGACATTTTGTGCCAGGTACAACTCTGATACTATTCTTGATGAAGATGGAAAGCCACCAATACTTTAGCAGGTGTATTATATAAGTGGTTGAAACAATACAGTGACAGGAAAAATTCAAGACATCATCACAGGTTGGTGATCTACCCATGAATCCAGCTGGGCATGTTTCTTTAAGGCATGCCACTGATTGGATAACTGCTCTCCCTTGGAAGCAGAGGGGCTACCTGGTCACCCCCAAAGGGTTTCTAGTCAGCCAGATCCAAAGGCAGGCAGGATCCAAAGAAATGCAACAAAGTGAGACAGTTTTTTCACTCCCTTAATCCGATGGAAATATTGTATATAATACATGGTAAATCACCAATGGAGCTTCCTTATGGAATCATTAGCTCTTACTAAATATTATCATATAATAGGATCAACTGCAGGCAAGTTACAGATTGAAGGGATTTTTCCAGAGTATGAAATGCCATTTGATCACCATTTTATTACCCTCCCTTAGATTTAAGGTGTGGAGTTCTAAGTAGAGGCTCCTTTTGTGTAAAGAAGAAAACTACTTCCTCTGTGATTGTCAGATGCAGATCTTTCCCCTATTATTTTAAAATCTGTGCATGCAATAGCCTATAAAATAGCATAAATCTAGTTTTTCAACATGCTTCCTCTCCCACTTAGGTCCTAAGCTTTCACTCTGAAAAATTCTTCCATGGGCAAAGTGAAAACTTGGAATCTGAGCCATTATGTTTTCTCCTCCATGATATAGAAGGCATATAATCTGAAACACCTAAAGAATTCCTAAATTCCATTTTCACAACGAAATATGGTTTTGGAATATTCAGAGCAAAACCAGATATTATTCGGTTCATTAAACTGTAATGGCTCTTAAGACAACTTCCTACAAAAGAGCAGCAACAATGATTGTTAGCAGGACCAGGGACAGCAGAGCCTGGAAACAAATTGGTATTGGCCCTGTAAAACTATACTCTTTAAAGTGGGCTTTGGAAAGCAGTTGCCTCTTCCATCGTGCCAGTTCAGTTCCTACACCTGAATAAACAACTCTTCAGATAAGCAAGCTTATGCCTGAACTACAGCAGCTTTAAACCAAAGCACATGCCGCAGGAAACACACCAAAAAGAGTAAGCAAGCATTTTCACCATGCTTTTATATGATCACATCATTGGCAGGCATAGAGGAAGCCCCAACAATAAATCCAGGGTTCTTAGGTTTCTTGACCAGCTAAGCTTCCCTCTCTTTTTTTGGTGTACACACATGCATAAATATACCAAAGGCTCCCTTTTCTCAGTGGGTTTCAGACAGTAAAATCCTTCTCAAAGACTTGCTAAGTGACTCATGCAATGAGAGACCAAGACAATCTGCATGTCAATGAATCAGGCAGTGGCATTTACTAGCAACCCTTTCCCCATAAGATCCTAATTACTTCCGTCCAGATTTCACTTTGCTAAGACCATAAAATACTGCACTCCTGTAGGTGCAAATAAAGTGCACCTGGAACAAATGACCCTCATGTGAACTCATGACATGAATTAAGGCCAGACTGTCTTGTCATTTGGTTTTCACTCCTTACAGCTGCAGAACTGTTTATAGCACCCCAGGAAGTTACACTGTTAACTGAAGCAGTATAAATACATCACTTCAGCTGTATCGTATGAACATGGTCTACTTGAGTTAAGTTGTCAATCAAGAACTGATATACAATTATTGCTTATTCCAGACACTTTGGCTGGAATTTAAAAAACTAAAAAACCCACCTAGGAGGTTTCTTCCATGCATCCACTTGGAAACTATGGTTTAGCATGCATCACAAAGATATACAAATAGGTTCACAGAGCTGCACTTTAACTACAGTCTCCTAATTCTTATGACACAGGAACCATTCACTTTAAGAAGGCAAGATAATAGCATACAGTTGAACACCTGAGGAGGAAAGGACAAAATACAGTGGTGCCTCACTTGATGATTACCTCGTTAGACAAGGAAATCGCTTGACGATTAGTTTTTGCGATCGCTAAACGATGACTGAATGGGCTTTTTTCACTTATCGTTGATAGGTTCCCTGCTTCGGGAACGGATTTTTCGCTTAATGACGATCAAAAACAGCTGAGCGTCGGGTTTCAAAATGGCTCCCCGCTGTACTTTAGGACAGATTCCTCACATTACAGGCACTGGAAAATGGCTGCCCTATGGAGGATCTTCGCTGGACGCTGAGGTATTTCACCCATTGGAACACATTGAACCAGTTTTCAATGCATTTCAATGGGCTTTTTCATTTCTCTTGACAAGGATTTTTCTTAACAGTGATTTGAACGGAATGAATTATCCTCGTCAAGCGAGGCACCACTGTAGGTGGAAGAGCTTGTCCTTAGTGTGATAAGCCACAATTTAATAAAACCAGCATTATTATATCCAAACTGAGCTAGCCATGGATATAATTGTTGTTGTTGTTTAGTCGTTTAGGCTATCCATGGATATAACTGTTGTTGTTGTTTAGTCATTTAGTCATTTCCGACTCTTCGTGACCCTATGGATCAGAGCATGCCAGGCCCTCCTATCTTCCACTGCCTCCCGGAGTTGTGACAAATTCATTCTGGTAGCTTTGATGACACTGTCCAACCATCTCATCCTCTGTCGTCCCCTTCTCCTCTCGCCCTCACACTTTCCTAACATCAAGGTCTTTTCCAAGGATATAATAGCATTGGCATTATTAGGACAGTCATTGCTTATGAAGTTATTCTGGACAGAGATATCAATATTGCTGTACAGTGGGAATACCATGTTATGTGAGAGATTTCCAATCTTGGGCTCCTAAATGTTCTTGGATTACAACTTTCAGAAGTCCCAAACATTGACTGTGTTCACTGAGAATTGTAATCTATGAACACCTAGAGCCCAACATCTGAGAACCACTGTATTACACCACAGATCAGTGGTTCCTAACTTTGGGTAATCCAGGTGTTGGACTGCACTTCCCACAAGCCTTCACCATCAGCTGGGCTGGCTGGGTTTTGTGAAAGTTGCAGTCAAAAAACACTTGGGTTACCCAAGGTTGGAAACCATTGCCATAGTTGCTTCAGCAAGCAAATCAACTAGCAAATTGCAAAGCTACCCTGTTTACCCAAAAAGACCTAACCTGAAAATAAGCCCTAGTATGATTTTTCAGGATGCTCATAATATAAGCCCTATCCCAAAAATAAGCCCCAGTTAAGTGAAACCCTGCCCTCTACCATTGTGCAGCACTATGCAGCAACCAGAAGAAGATGACATGACTGTAAAATAAAACAACCCCTGAAAATAAGCCCTAATATGTTTTTAGAGTAAACATAAATATAAGATCCTGTTTTATATTCGGGGAAATATGGTAGATATACTTCCAATATCAAGCTTCTGAAATCAAACTAGTTAAGCTTTCAGATATAAAGCTTGCAAAAGCTTCTGCCATAATTAGAACAATGAAGCATACTATAAAGTTTGATTAAAACAAGATTTTTTGGAACAAGACTGAATTTTACATTTTCTTTCCCTATGCCCATTCAAGTTTTCATCGTTTTTTCAAACTGATGCTTCAGGCAAGAAACAACACAATTTTTTTAAAAAAGCAGACTTTGGCAAGCATATTTTGCCTTGCACTATGCTTGGAAAGAATAACAACAATGAAAAAAGAAAGTGACAATTTCTCACAGCCAAATTAAGATCTTCAAGATAAAACACTCTTGGCTCTTCAAGTTAAGACTATGTTGCTGCTCTCTCAGCCACAGCAATGTAGAATTTGGGAATGTGTGGCCCTTCAGATGATGCTGAACTATAATTATAACAAATTAATTCATACTTTTACTTCTCTTGACCACATAATATATTGACTAATATAACAGTCCATATTTCAGACTTTATAAGCTTATTTATGACTAGATGTCCATGAGTCTGTCCAAGTGATATTTGGCCCACTCATGTAGCAGGGCATACTCTGGACCTGGTTTTTCTATGCCAGGCAGGAGAAGGGTAGTCTGAATGAAGTAATCTCTACTGATTTGTTGTCATTAACAGATCACTGCCTTGCAGGTTAGATTCTGCAGAAGTGAGATGAGTTTAAGATTATCCACTTTTGATTAATCAAAAATTTCCTACTGTTTTGACAAATAATCCTGCTGAAACTCTTAGTTGACCTCTGGAGTGAGGAAATGACTAGAGCAGTAGACATGATCACTCTTAAGCAATGTCTCCCATGGAGAGAAGCAAATAAGCCCCAGATTTACCGTTCTATTATTTTAAATGTATGAGAAGCTTTTACAAATTTAATATCTGAAGGTTTATTGGCACTGTCGGAGGTGGCAAAACAAATGAGATGAAGACTGATAGAAAACGGGTCCAATCAAACACATGCTACAGCCCACTGGAAGGCCTATTCTGTAATGGTGGCAATGAAGAATACATTTTTTGCTGCCTGCACAGTCATCAAACAGCTGTTTCAAGTGGAGAAGAACCTATCACGTTCTCACTCACAAAAGAAAAATGCAACTCATTAAACAGTCCACTGTGAAAAATTTGTAAGGCATCGCATACACAAAACTACCTGGATTTGCTTGGAGTTGAATACTGTAGTTGAAACAGGCCCTGTACATGTAACTTATCCTGATTTAATAGGGTATTTCAATTTGAGCAGACCAATAATGTGTGCTGAATAGGGATGTGTCATTGATTTTTTTTTTAATTCCAAATTCCAGAATTGTCCTAGAATTCGTCAGGCAGAACTTTGGGAGTCCCAGCCCATGGATCCACAACTACAGACACCTACCTTTCGCTCACCTGGACCGGGGCCTATCTCAAAAACTGCATGGCTATCTCAGGCCTGAACTTCCTATTAAAGTATGACAAGCTGCTCTCACCACTTGTGCCACTGATGAAGAGATCACCTCTTCTAGGAGAGGTCAAAGGCAAAAGAGGGATTGCATACTTCTGCCTTCTCTTGTCATTCATTAGCCTATAATCCTTGCTAAGCAGCAAGTCCATGGCTTTTCCTCTTTTTTCAAACATCTCTGGAAAAAATTGCTCACAGCTTCCTTTGTCAGCCTTGGATCAGAGTGTTCAACTCCTGACAGAAGTGTTACATTGGCAGCAAGAATGCCTTTGTTAAAGTGTTAATCTGCCATTCTTATCCACCTCAGCATCTACCGGCAGACAAGTAGAGATTTTAACATGCAATGACTTGTAGACCACTTTGGCTACATGTAGGCATATTGTATATCCAGGACACAGTATCAGAGAAGACTTGATTCCTGAAGACACTCCTCTCAGAAAGTAAATATCCTCTCCCCATTTTCTCTTCTGCATCCAAAATTTGACTCAAATATATTCTGCACAAAGTATGTATATCCAATGTAGCAACACAGGTAGATGGAAAGGTAATTTTGCCCTCACATTAGAAGTCCCAAAAAAGGTCCATCATACATAAAAACAGAAAAAGTTTAAGTTTTGGCACATTTCTGAGAATATGTCCATGTCTGGAAATAAGTTACTAAAAATACCTCTTGCAATTCTAAGTTAGCACACTGACAACTCTATAAAACCCAACTCAGAGCATCATAAAGGGAGCAGGGTTCAACTTATTTACAATAAACTACTTCCGGGAACTTAGTGAACAAATCTGCAAATATGACTGGAATGCCAGATAGAGAGAAAGCAGAACTGCGTGAATATTACCAACTGTTACAACAAAGCTTTGAGAAGGATGGAGAGAGTAAATTGTCTTCCAAACAAAACACTGGCTGTAGAGTTTTCAGAATTACATATAAAAAACAATTACCTGTAATCAAGCTGGCGACTAGGGGGATGGTCATCCCTCGGCCATCTATATCCTGGATCATCCTACAAAAAGAAGGAACATCTGAAGACCATAATGCAATATATGGCAAAATCCAATTTTTAAAAAATCCATTTACCATACCTTAAACACAACTTAATGTATCACTTTTCCCATTTACTTGACTACAACTCAAACTAATATTTACAGCACACCTCCACTCAATTAACATGCTTTCAAGCATAAACATTAGACATGGGCTATTCATATTCATATCCCTGGGGATACAAACACAATCCACAGCAGCATGGAGGCACATTCTCTTTCCCCAGAACTGCCTGGTCTGCTGACCAATCGCCACTGATCAATCACTGCACAGAACTCCGTCAGCATTGCTGCCATGCCAGTTACAGAAGGAGCCCAGTTGACTCTTCCCTGCCTCCCTGCAGAGCTGGCCATTCACTGGCTGAACGAGGAGACTCCCTGTCCCGCCTCCACTCTAAAGAGGTCAGTTAAGCGGGGAGAAGAGGGCTGGGCTCCTTCCACGATTGGTGCAAGAACAAGGAAGCTGAGCACCACAAAGGGGTGTGTGGAATGGCCAGTTCTCAGGGAAGGGAATGGGCCTCTGTGCTACCGAGGTTTGTATTAGTATCCCCAGGATACAAATCCAAATAGCTCATGTCTAGTAAACATAGTAATATTGTGTCTTGCATCACAAAATCAGCAAAAAAGGAAAATTAAAGGAAAAAGGAAAGCAAAAATGAAGTGCTCAAACTGATTTCAAAGATAAAAGCTGGATTTGATCATGAGATACGCATAAATTATCAGGCACAAACACAGAGAAATGTTCTGCAGTCTCATCTGTCTAAGAGACAATGGCTGAAATAACGTTGCCTAGCACAGTCAGTTGCAGACAGTATAGGCCTGTTTGAATCAATGGAACTTATATAGAAGGTGAGTCACCAAATCTCCACTGACTCAGGAAGTTTATTCTATTGTGATTTACTATGCTAAGCAACAGGATTTTGGCCAATAGCACTGTATTACCAATAAGATGCAACCAAACATAGCTCATTAGCACTGCGGAAATCCATCCCAGAAAACAACACAAAAAAGCTAAAAAAAAACTCTGAGGAGTATGCACCACCACAAGCATAATGTCATATGTTACTTTTCAATATTGGAGTCATAGCATCATGGCTTCTTTGCTACTGTGATTACAATGAATCAGACAGTGGTTACAATGCCAAATCCAGATATCAGTTTTTTACCCATATGACCATTAATTCAAGATGGAACTATTAAAACCCATCTGGGACATGGGGCTTCCAACAATACACCCATGAGAAAGAAAAACAAATATTAAAACTTACAATTCTGTGTGGTGGTCCACTTCTCCTTTCAAAACCACGACCTTCACCATAGTCTCTATAGCCCACAGGAGCATGACTGTATTCATATCTGCTGTAACGCCCTTCTGCAGGTCGCTCTGGAAGAGGTGTTTTCTTGGGTGGAAAGTTCACTACTCTGTGATAGTCATCCTAAAAATTGAAATTATACGCAACATCTTATTTTAAGGCATCTATTTTCAAAACACAGTCTTTTTAAAGTTCGTGCTTCTGTTGAAGAGATAAATTAAAATGCCCATGCTTAACTTCATGATACATTGTGGTGACCACACAAAATAAACCTTTGGAAATAAAAATATCTTTGAAGTAGAAAGAGAGAGTTCTATCAAAACCTGTCAATTTTTTCCATTATTCTATGAAGCCTTTGCTATTACTTCACATTTGTTGCACAACTTTTCTTTCAATGGCCGCTCATAAATATTTAGCACAAGATCCTTAAACACTTCAGAAGGCCTTGCTTAGTTAAAAACTCACTCAAACGAATGAGGAAAAGACTGGATTCGGAAGCAGGGAATCTTAAGATCATTTTCCTTCTGAATAATTTTTTGAAGGATATGTTAATGAAACCTATCAATTGTTTCTGAAAATAAAATGTCCACCTTTATATAATACCAGTCAAGCGGTTGAAGAATGCTTCAAACCCTCTTTGTATAATGTCACTATATTTTGCTGTTTATGACTCTTGGGTTTTGCTGATAGTTTTTTGGCTGTAATATATAAAAATAAATCACTCTTGCCTTGAATGTTTTTAAAGCAACTATTTCATTCCTTGTCAAAAGTACATTTGTCTCAATTTTTTTTTTAAAAAGGAACCTATATTTTTTCCAGAAAAGCAGTCCAGAAGTGATCAAACAGGAAACTTAAAAAATAAAGTACGACCCCCTATCTGTAGGATCAGTATCCACTGATTCTTGCAGAAGTGATCAAACAGGAATCTTAAAAAATAACGTATGACCCCCTTATCTGTAGGATCAGTATCCACTGATTCTTTTATCTGAAAATATTAAATATTAATATTAAAAGAAAAAAATGCAGAAACACATTTTACTAGAACTGGCCACTAGAGGGAGGCAGAGACTATGCTACATAGCATGATCTCTGACTACTAAGGCCTCTCCTCCCGCAAGGTTTATCAGGGAAGATCTGGAGCTGCTCCTTCTGCCTGCTGATTTATTCAAAGGCAAGGTTCCCTCTAAGCCAGACGTGCACAACTCCACCTCCCTCCACGCAGCTCTCTTCCTCCTCCATGCAGTGATTGCGCTCAACCCCTTTGGTTCCGATTGCAACAGAACGTTGTGGGGGGGGCAAAGTTGGGCCTGCACGGGTGAAGTCCCATGTGCAAGAGGTGGAGCCCCACTCAGCAGGGCTGAAAATTATAAGGAATGATGCCCAGAGGTTAAAAAAGTGTTACTGCCAGATAACCTAGGTGGGAAGATAGAGGCACCTCCAGCTGACTTGCTTTGCATTGATAAGGGACGATGCCCAGAGATTAAAAAAGTGTTACTGCCAGACAACCTAGGTGGGAAGATAGGGGCACCTCCAGCTGACTTGCTTTGCATTGAGGCCTGAGAGCACGCCAGCAAACAGCTCTGCATGCAGGTGAGTGACTCCCCTCAAAGCGGCGGCAGTCTTCTTGCTCTGCCCTCCCTTTGGGTAACTATCAGGTTTCCATGGATTGGAGGAAGGGCAGGGGGGCCTTTGTCCCTATACCATCCAGACAGTTGGCAAGGGTGGGGAGGGTGTCTGGTTTGGAGAGGTCAGATGTTTGCTATAATCTGTGTATTTCAGCATCCATAGGAGGGCTGTGGACATGAGTATTCTACTGTACACAACACCGTTGGGAAGGAAGGGAATCACTTGGCCTGGTGGCCAGTGAAGCAGTAGTCAGAGAAGAGGAATCTAGAAAGGGCCCAAAGGCATACCGAGATCACTAGGAAAGAAATTCCTATGTTCTCTGATGAAGAATTTCAGTATCAGGGCTTCCAATCTTTCAGATAGGTTGCAAAGCCATTGCCAGTGGGATAGTAGTAAGGAAAGAGTTAGTTGCTTGATTCTGCACCACATTTTATTGCCTATTTTAATAATGGGAAAGACGTCATTTTGACCACATGCAAGCCTTTCTGTATCAGAGCTACAGTTGAGAGCTGTGGGTACACAAGCACTTCTTGTTCTTTCTTGAGACTCCTCTTTTCTTCCTTCTCCAACAAAGGAATTCTGATGTTGAAGAGGAAGCCATGGTAGAAACTTCCGCTGTGGTGGGAAGGGATGCTGCAGATTAGGTGTCCCCTTCTCTCTGCATTTGGAGAGATCAGTTGTTTCCTATAGTCCCAGGTATACCTTCATGTATCCACTTATGCACACGAGAAAGACCCTGGAAGGTGCTCTTCAGTGCAGCCTCTTGTTCAAGTGGGAACAGAAGACAGCTGAGCTCAGAAAAACTTTAGAAAAGGCAACCAAAGTATCTTCTTAGCTGTGTTCCAATTCTCAAGTCCCAGAGAAAAAAAATTTCCAAAAGCTGAATCTATCATGAGAAATAGAGTGATTTTGCCCACTTATTATGATTAGCAAGTTATTGACTACAGAAAGAACCTCGTCAGCTATGTTATTTTTGGAGAGATAATTGGTATGAAGAACCAAGAAAAAATATGTATTATTGTGCATGAAGTGAGTTAAGGACTTAAAAGCTTTCCTAAAATATCTAATAATGTAACTACTGAAAATTACCAATATACAGTGGTGCCTCGCTTAGTGATCGCTCCGTTGAGCAATGAAATCGCTTAGCGGTGGGGTTTTGGCCATTGCCAGAGCGATCGCTAGCGATGGCCCCATGGGGAAAAATCGCTTTGCGATGATCGCGGGGAAGCGATTATGGCAAAGCAACCCTTTTTGCACAGCTGATCGGCGGTTTCAAAATGGACGCTGGAAAAACAAAATGGCTGCCCACCGTTTTGCCTCGTGGCGCAGTGGTTAAATCGCTGTACTATAGCCAAAACTGTGCTCATGACCTGGGGTTCAATCCCAGGTAGTGGCTCAAGGTTGACTCAGCCTTCTATCCTTCCGAGGTCGGTAAAATAAGTACCCAGCTTGCTGGGGGGGGGGGAATGTGTAGCCTGCATAATTAAATTGTAAACCGCCCAGAGAGTGCTTGAAGCGCTATGGGGCGGTATATAAGCAGCATGCTTTGCTTTAGAGGCACCAAAAATGGCCGCCCCTATGGAGGATCTTCACCTAAGGTCAGTTTTCAAGCCCATAGGAACACATTAAACACGTTTTAATGCATTTCTATGGGCTTTTAAATTCCGTTTAGCGATGAAATCACTTAGCAACATTTTTCCTGGAACGGTTTAACGTCGCTAAGCGAGGCACCACTGTACATGAAAGTTTTTAATTCAAATACCCCCCTCTCTTTTTCAAATAATTTCCAGTACTCATTCACTATCTAAGACTTAATACTGCTACAGTAAAACAGATAGCATACTCAGGGAAAGGTTTTATTACAGTACTTGGTAGCAGCAAAAAGTAAAGGTAAAAATTAAAGAAGGGATTACCAATACCTAGGCCACAGACTGTGGCTTCCAAGGATATTTTTCTTGCTCCAAAATTAGCCCCAAGTCCCATTATGGAAAAAAAGTGTGTTACCTATTTTAAATTTTGCTTAAACATCCTTACTGCTGTTCCTGCAGTCCTACAGAAGCAGCATCTTGTGCGTCAGGGTTTTGGAAGGATCTTTTAAGCCCATCACCCTTATTTTTTATAAAAGGAAATTAGAAGTCCTTGTCCAGGTAATTCCTGTACTAGCTTAAAGAAAAGGAAATTGAAACTTCCAGGCGCAGTGCAGTGCACTGAGGGAGGATGTCTTCCCCAAATTTGCGAACCCTGAATTAAAATAAATTGCAGCACAGATCCTCTACAGATTAGCATGGTTTGGTAGGATAAAAATCTACAATAGTAGCACAACATTACACATTAGTATTACCTATCTGAACAGCAATATGCAAAATTTTGCAACTTGTTTTGGAATATGATCATACATGCAATTTAATTTTTGGCAATGATTTAAAAGTTGCACACCGAAACCACACATTCATTAGAAATACCTAAAGCAGATCCCATAGTAATTATTTCAGGGTAGAATGAAACACAGTTCAAAAATGCTTCCATAAATTAAGATCTCCACAATTAGCAGATTGTCAATCAAATCAAAGTTTTGCCCTTCATTGTACCCTCTAATTGAGTGGCTATTATAGCAAGAACTGACTGACTGACTACATATACCCTGTAAAATCTCATCGAATAGACTTCGTGTTGAAAAGGGAGATAACTTTCTGGCTCCTGTAAAAAAGAAAAATTAGAGACATCATAAAAAAGACAACAGGCTACTCTGCAGTGAACACAGACTCTATGTTTTTTATTTTGTACACTACTGCCTTTTATTTCTTCTCCTTCAATCTACTGAGCATATACACAATGTTAAGCATTCACCCTCTAACTATATGCAATTTTCTTACTTAAGATATCTTGCCCTATGTATATGGAGCAAGAAAAGGTTGAAGCTAGGAGCAACCTCTCCAGTCATGAGCCTTCAACATTTCCAATTTCAGTCCAACCTCCCATATGTTCACATAGCTGGAGAATTGCCTAGGAATCTTAGTAAACAGGTGTCCCAGGGCGATGTGTGTGGCAAAGAAGAGTGCCGAAATATAGTGATCCAGTACAAACAGTGCCATTTATGATTGCTTGAAAAGCATGTGTACATAGTAAGAAGATAGAATGTTAAGGTTTACTCATGGTCTGCCTAAATAAGGAAAACAATTACAGCCTAGGTAACAAATACTAATACCTGGAGTTGTATGCTGTCAAATGCATACTGCATGCCCTGTAAATGAAATAATTTGGAAATATTGTTTAAGAGCCATTAATTATTAAAGGATCTCAACTTAAAATAGTTTGTGTGCTATGGGTACTTCTATCTTATGTCATCAACAGAGATTCTCTGTGTTTAACTTCTATGATATCATAAGATGAATACAGCCAATGGCAAACATCAACTTTAACCAGCACATAAATAATCAAAAACTTTTAAAGAGCTCTGGAAAGAGAAGGCCTTTGCATGGCACCAGAAAGATAATATAGGTCATCAGGCGACTGTCCTTGTGGACAAAATTCCAAAGATACAGCACCACAATCCAATGCTCATTTTAAATGGCAAAGAAACTTGGGCCACAATTGCAGATGACCTCAATACATGGATGAGTTAGTAAGGGAATTGGTAGCAGATTTCAAAACATACAGGCCTTATTAGAAGAAACACCAGCCTTTAGCTTTTTCACAGCACTTGGCTTAGATCTGCCTTAGAAGTAGCCACTTTGGAGGATAGCCACTGCTTCTATGGAAGACACTCACTTCCTGAAAGCGGTTTTGACATGCTATTGTTTTTCGTACTGTTCTTCTACACCTCCTCTGGCCTTATTGGCCAGAATACTATTGCTTGCGTATACAGCATAAATTAAAATGTCAAGCTAGTATTAGCAAAGGAGCTGTCACTTGTATTCCTCATAAGCACCAGTCATTTGACTTGCTGGGCAACCAGTGATTCTTTTAAGCAGTGAGAAGTCACCACTGTGATTGAGACCATTACACGTACACCTGCATGCATAAGTAATAAGATTCTGGCTGGTATTTTGTCTATGCAGATTATGATACCAGTATGGAAATCAAGTGAAGAAGGGCAAAGGGAGGAAATGTTGCAAGGTTCAAAAGACTGTGCTTCAGTCTAATCTAAACTGGGCCTGAAGGCTTTCCTTAATTTCTGAACTTCAGTTCTGCCTCTAGCCACATTAAAATTAAATATCCAGCTGCTCTGCATTTCTTATCTAATCATTCAATTTAATGTTCCTGCAATTCTCCTAAAGCAAGGGAGAATACCAACATCAAAATGGAATTAAGACAGAGAATTCTACTTATGCAAGAATGTCTACACAAGGCACTGTTTGCACTCAGAACTAGCACAAAAAGAAGAGGAGGAGGAAAAAAAAAGTCTTTGCTTCTGTGCGGAATTGCAGCCTGAAAATACCGATCACATCTGAGTCATTTCTACTGAACTAAATGGGATTTACCTCAGAGTAGATTGATTTAAATAAAATACATTTAAATTACAGCAGGGTTGGTAAAAATAATTTACTTTAAAAATTAAAAAAGGATTTTAAAAATTAAATCAGATTTGTAAATTTAAATTTATTTTCTGGATTTAAAAAAGGTGGTTTTTATCCACCTTGTAGTGATTTAAATTGTGGTTTAAATCAATTTGATGTAAATCAAATCCACCCTGCTTTTGAGAGAAATGCAGGCAATTGGAAAAAATAAGAGTAAAATAATCAGGTTGGGAGGGGTCTATAAGGCCATTGAGTCCAACGCTGTAGGTCCTTGCAGAAAAAGAACAGCCTTTGAATTCTTTGATCCAGTATGACACACTATGTTTGCAAATAAGGAGGGGGGATTTTTTGCCATTAATTTCCCATTAACAATGCAATGTTTAATTCATGCTATTTACAAAAAACAAAAGATAGACTATGCTTAAGATGTTGCCTTTCACTGCCACAAGCATGAAATCAACTCACATATTCTCCTTATAACTATCATAAGCTGGGGGTGGGGGTTAAACAAGAAAAAGAAATAGAAAAGGCCTGCTGAGGGAAGCTATCTACCAAGGACTAAAGTTCTATCAGGTTGACGTTTTAACTAGCATTTTAAAAGCCTCAGAACCTCATTCTCAAATATCTGTGGTAGGCTATCAGAAATAGAGCTTTATGCAATTTAACAAAACACAGACCACACTTTTAGCATGTTGCCCAGAGAAGAAACTACTTCTGCTAACACAGAAGCTAACATCTGGTAAAGACAATCCTATTGCTGACATACACACAAGAGGAAAATTAATATCTGTGGTATCAGAAATAGAGCTTTATGCAATTTAACAAAACACAGACCACACTTTTAGCATGTTGCCCAGAGAAGAAACTACTTCTGCTAACACAGAAGCTAACATCTGGTAAAGAAAAGACTATTGCTGACATACACACAAGAGGAAAATTATGTACAGTGGTGCCTCGCTTAACGAGCGCCCCGTTTAACGAAAAAATCGCATAGCGATGGCTTTTTTGCCATCGCTTTTGCGATCGCACAACGATCTTGCCTATGGGGAAAAATCGCTTTGCGGGGACAGGCTGGGGGGTGAATCGGGAAGCTTGAAGCCTCCCCGCGCTGCTTACCCAGGCCGTTCCCGGACTTCTGGAAGTCCGAGAACGGCCGGTCGTAGTCATGCGGGGCACCACGGTAGATATACAAGTAGCCCCATCTCTAGCCTGACTTACTTTAACATAGTAACCCAGAACTAGAGTTGGCATATTTGAATCAATGAAACTTATGGAAAACTTGACTTACCAAATCCCGACTAACTCAATGAGTTTATTCTAGTGCTCTGTGCAGCAGGATTTCAGCCAATACATTCTAAATTACAATAGAAAATTTAAAACATTTAAATATCTCTCCTCACACAGGAAGGAGGTGGAGCACATGACCCTGAGGTTTACCACTGGAACTATCATGGTTTATTGGAACCACTGAATGTGTAGAACACACACAGTTTTCCTTCCCACACAAAGCTGTTATTAACATCTCTACCGAGGGCACGGTAGTGATCCAATGATTATCGTAACTGCATGTATTAGCAATTCAACCAACTATGTTATAATTTTATAAGCTAAATTTGCACCCATCACTGCAACTGTAGCAAAATGTTCCTTTAAAGAAAAAGACTCAG